AGTAAGTGCCAATTTAAAAGCGAATCGATCCAGTTTCGTCGCAAACTGCATGCACCTATGCCTTGAGAGGTATATTAGGTATGGTACAGTTTAAATTGAATTAATTTGAGCGATATATAGATGCGTAATAAAAGCAGGGGAATTAAGTAAAATGAGATCGACGCTTTTATTTCTATAAGTATAGAGAATACGCAGAAACCGTTTAGCGAAACGCACTATTTTAAACGCATTATCCCATATTCAATTAATTCGACGTCCATGCCGGCATGTGCACGGTGTCGTAATGGATTGCGTCTTTTCCTTGCGGATTATTTCATCTAATGAAATGATAATTACGCTCGATTGCAACGAAACTACGAGAAAAAATGCGAAAAACGAGGCGACGTCTTCACTTCTGGGAAACCATCTAGCGATAATGGACTTTTTTTTGCCGTCGATTTTTTTTTATTTCCATCCTGCCAGGCGTACGTTTGCGTACCTATACCTACTCGTCGAGTTGTAAAATTATTATGCGTACGGTATTGCGTTATGGCTTCGAATTCCTGCGGAGAGAGTTTTAATCGCATTATGATGGGTACCCATTCTCGTTACGATTACCGTCGACGAGTGTTAATTTCGACGTTACGTCTTCCCGTACAAGCGAAACTGATTTATTTCTGGAAATCGGACGTTTCCACCGATTCTCGGAATGCTTCTACACCGACCATACCGTGCTGGAAAAACGCGCTTTATTTAGCCAACAGTCTTCTGCTTCCCATGTCGCTATTTTTTTATGGCAACAGGTAAATCATTCTATTCCGAAATTCCGCTTCAAAAATGTTTGTTACACTCCAGGAAATCACTCTACTTTAATTAATGTAGATACTTCTACGATAAATTACAATTTTTTTGTGTTGTGCGCGAATAAGTGGGTCTTTAAGATGCGTTCGATGATACATATAAACAAGAACTGTCAAAATTTTACTGTCAAGAACAAGAACTGTCAAGTTTTATTAGAAGATGGGAATAAATTTTTTGGTATAGATTAGAGGTGCAGAGTAACGACTGTTACAAAATAACCGTTATTTTTCAAATATGAATACTCGACTCTATATACTCTATATGCTCTGCCCTGCTCTATTCTGCTCTACTCTACTTTTACCAAAATTTTACTATATCTATTAAACCTGTAAATAAAGTACTTCACTGTTAACTACAATCACTCTAAAATAACATATATTTAACAATTAAAGGCTGCATTACGAAGCCGTAACGGCCGCGTGATTTCTCAATGCGTATAAGTCCCATAATAAAGCGAGGCTCGTCGCTTAATCGGGGCCTTCGTCTTGGTTAATTATTTATAAAGAGCGACCTCTCTCGCGAGGCGGATTCGCGGAAAGCGCGCTCGATTATAAGAGCATAATCGCAATCGATGATAATAACGATGGTTTCCGCGAAGCGAGCGCAACGAAATCGGGAAATTTTATTCTCGCGTTTCGTTTCCCATCAACGGAAACGTGGAAATCGATTTGTTCTGTTTATACCGGTTTATTATTCGCTTCTGTGCATACAACAATCATCAATTTGAGTAATGAAATATACGCTGATTAATTAGCTAAAATGTCCGATTAAATTTAGCGAATAAAATGATACGTTTTATACCGAGTAAATTCGTGCGATTAAACCGCCGGTAAAAATCGACTGCCTTATTACATTACATTACAGCGATTATATACCTGCACTTATAAACGCGAGATCGATTAAGTTATTAATTAACCAGACGGTAATTATACATCTCGTTTAATAATCGGCGCTTTATTAATTTTTTTCCTCCATTGCGACTTAATTGGTTCTTCGGCGGGCGATTATTTAATGCGCGCGATGATTAATTTTAACAGCCACCGGTGTGTGAAAACCCGAACGGTACATACGCGCTTTTATCGCGTATTTATTACACGCATTTTCGTCGAGTTGTCCATGTAATTTTACGGTGTGTCGCAGATTCGGAGCGCCGTTATATGAAAATTATAACGCCGAAATCATCAGGGCAATTTTTTTATATTACCTACCTACTTAAGTATTCGTTAAATTGTTAAGTAAATTATACACTCAATTTGCTACTTGGTTACTCTGTGGATAGTCTGATGATATTACCTAAGTAGAGAAAAATGTGACGGTTTAAAAAATAATTGTTGATACAAATATGCTTTACTAAAAAATATGTAAATTGAAAGAGATGAAATTATGAATTAATAGGTATAAATTCAGCAGGATTTATTTAAGGAAAAGACAAATTTATCTTCATACAGATATTTGCCTCCAACTCGTTCATTCAGAAGCTTCGTCGTGCTGATATCAAACCTACAGAATTTTTTATCGCTTCAAAAGTGGCTCGAATCGAATGATCCATTTTTTGATCGATTTTAAAGCAAATCTTTGATCAACAGTTACAGCTGATTTTGGCAGCTTTTGTTAACCTTGAAAGTGAAAAGGAAATATAATCTTTCAAATAATGTCAAATTGGTGTATAGCTAATTCACGTCATTTTCGTGGATTTAAATTCCTACTGGGATTGGTCAATTTTAAACCTCTTTATTTACCAAAGGAATAACTTTTTCATGTTTTTGGCTGCAGTTTTGGCATCTCCATTGTCGTTTCCGTAGGGCATTTCCCGGTAGGGCGTGAGTTCTGGGCCACCCTGTCCATTTTTGTGGAATTTAAATATAGTTCCTTATATAGCGCATATTTTATAGTAAATTATGAAATAGATATTAACAGGTATAAGTTCGCGAATATTTTTAATGTTTATATAAGGTATAGGTATAGTATTGGACAAGAAACCTGTAAACTGAAACATAAATCTCGACCGTCTCGGCCGACGAGTTCCGACGATACTCATCGAATATGAGAAAATAAACCCGAACAATCTCGACATATTTATGCTAATACCGCAACCGCATCTGGCCGAAGTACATTTCACCCGTACCCACCCGATTTAATCCGTAACAAATCGCAACGAAACTAAGTCGTAAACTACAAAGAAAGGACGATATATCAATTTCTAGGCCGGCATTCGGGCATAAATCATGTCTAAACTGAACCCGGCCGATCCGCCGCCTCTCCCGCTACCCCTACGCCGAGACGCCGCCCCCCGGCGACCCCTTCCACCCGGTGAACTACCCCCACCCGGCCCTGTCCACGCCCCAAAGCGAAGGGCACGCCCCCGCGGCGGGCGGGGCTTAGGAACCAATCACTGCAGCGACGTGTGTGGTCTTCAGATCTTTATTACATTTTCCGTTGCCAATTTAACAATTCGAAACGCGGTGGGAGAGAACATCACTAATGATCGTTCTCAACAGGGATATAGCGAGTTGATTACCCATACGCTCGGACGTGGTCAAAGAGATGTCGGTCGTTTTTTTTATTCTCTCTCTCCTATACTTCGTTCCTTCGATTATCATACAGAAATAAAATAAACTTTTTAATTATAATCCGTTGGGATTAATCGCGATTGATGCGATAACGACGCCATTAAAAACTCTGATTATGGATTTTTTGTTATTAGGTGAAAATTCCGGAGATATAGACGTGTAGATTGGGGAATTGTATAAGAAAGTTAATTGCCTGTAGCTATTAATTTATTAAGTATTTTAAGCACTATACTAAGCAATATCGGGTAATAAATTGAAAACAATAATGTGTATAAATTTTTTTAAATAGTGGATTTGTAATAAGATAATTTATCTATAACATATCTTGTAAGTAAGATATTTACGAGTAGAATGGAGAAGGAATGCACAACTTTACATCACTGTATTATTCCTGTATAAAAATTATTTTTAACACCATTATTTTATAATGAAACTTTGGTTTCGATAATAATTTCTAATTTCGAATTCCTGCTAATAGAGTCAAATAAATCATTTTTACAATAGATATGAATTATGAGTTGTTTTATTAAATTATAATGCACCTAAGATTTTTTCTCAAATTAAATTTCTCTTATTTATACACCTATAGATCCATTTTTTAATTCCTTCCTCTTACCTATTGGATATTGAACTTTCTAATATTTGATTGATTATCGATTATTGTTGTTATGAGTCATTAATCTTAATTTGTACGAATAACAAAGTGGGTGTATAGCGAAATATCAATCATAAATTCATACAAATATCGAATATTAGGCGTCATCTAGTAGCAAATGCAACAGTTAAATCCCTACTCTATTTACAGATTTCTATATTACCTCATATATACTTACATTATGCACGTGGTAATTAATAATCAGTGCAGCATAATTAAATTAAACAAATACCCTACATTAAAACGTAATAGACGTTTCATTATCAAAGTTTCCATCATCAGATCAACTAGATTGTTAAGCTAAAAACGTATACTTGTTAGATTTATACAGACTGTAATTAAAAAAAAGTACCTACGCAACGTACGTAGGCATTCAAAGCGTTAAATTCTTACGTCTTTTTACAATTTGATCCGGGGAGGGCCTAATTAAAAATAATTTGTAGCGCACGAGGCGCTCTCCGCGCGATCGTTTGATTACTAATTGCCCGAAGGGAGGGCGAGAAAAACGCAATTAAAAGAAAATGCCCGAATGACGGAAAAGCCACCCTCTTTAAGCAACGGCCCACCTTTCACGGCTCCGAAGACAAATTAAAAAGTTCTTTAATTGGAACATTCTTTCCGAAGCGCGACTGGCGGAAAATTCACGGGAGAATGAATGGCAATTAAACTCGATTAATCACTCGGAAAATCCGCCATCCGGCATCGGGGAGAGAGTGCTTTTCTTTCCATCGGAAAATTCAACCCCGGAGTTTATTTACCTACTCTCTTTCGTTGTATATAAACATACATTTAATCGCCATTTGATACGCCATGAAATATTTTCTACTAATACCAGGAATTTTACTTAATCGTTTAATAAACATTTTTAATTAAATCACTAATAAATGTTCATGATAATTCATTGGAATGACAGAGGCGAAATTATTATAGTTACACTTTTCTCTTATCTTTCAACTCTCATTAATTCGCATGAAGGAAAATTTGCAGTTATAGTGTATCAGTTGACATCAGAGCTTGAACTCCACGAAGTAGGAGTTTTAAATTAGTTGTGATTTAATTACTTCGGTGCAGTGAATAGGTTAATTAATTAATTGGGTGATTAATTTAAGCAATACCCCGTATACAAGGCTTATCAATCGAGTGCAGCTATATTTCCTTCATTTCAGTGTTGAAATCATAACAAAATATTACTTAAGAGTGTTATTGTATAAAAATTTTATCCGAAATTCGAAGGAACTTTGTTTGTTATTTGATACTAATTTTTCGAATGTTACTTTGTTGTATTTATATTTGAATACTCGCTCAGTAGCTATAATTAAAAGGCTTTATTTAACAACAAGATCCATTTAGTGTGTTTCGGAATTCACTAAACAAATACCAAGTTTTGAACATTTTTCATATCTAGAAAGTTTAAACAATCATCAAGCATTGAATTCGCGTGCAATAAAATAAGAAAGATAAACGACAATGAAGGAGCCGAATTCAAACTAACAAGATCAAGGCCGATGCACTAATCCACAATTAATACTGATAAATTAATTACCCATTCTAATTACGCAGTGGAATCGATTGTTCCTATAACGTGAAATGCGAGAAGAAAGCATTTATGGTAAGTGAATTTCGATATACTCAAAATATTTATTAATAACAAAACGTACCGCAATTAATAATAATTAAAAAATACAAAGGTCACGATGTTATAAATAAAGCCGAAAGTTTGGTAAGTATATCTAATAAATATTCGATAATGTTTTAAGTGATCGGCTCAATACCAGACAATAATGAGTAAGTAAGAAGACTATTAATTGATTAATTATATAGATACTGATGATAGTGTTAAAGATACTGATTAGAATAACCTATAGTCTATACGAATAAAATTACCAATGTTTCTGTGGCATTCATATTTATCAAGAAGTAACCAAAACTAATAAAGACCATTAAACTCGCATTGATAACAACAAATTGCTCTGCGTACCAAATATACACGCAATCTAAAGTCGTCGCACCTAAATTATCTCAGCGCCAACAATTACCGAAATTACCGATAATAACTTCACTGCTGTATTTCAGTAATTTAGAACAAAACGAAAACACCAACAATGCACATTAATTTCGACATTCCAGAATTTCCATCGCTGCAAAACTCCAGTCTATACCAACGCGGCGCTTCCACCAATCCTTGGCTGTTTCCCATAAAAGTCTTCAAACTCTGCATACTAGGAATATTAGTACCATGCCTCCTAATCAGCATACCATTGTACCTGCGGTACCGAGTCTACAGCAATCAATTGTACCCACTCGCCATGTCGGATATGAGATTGATCGATAACAAAGTATCGACCACTTGGTGTCAGGTAAGCTTACATAAACACAAAATACCACGATTTTTTGGCTTACTTTACTCGCATATTCTTCAGAAACAACGCATCAAAGTAAACGCCACATTCAACGCATTCCTGCTATCTCAAAACCCGACAATTTCCACCAAAACGAGACCCTTGACGATGGTGCGCGAGCTGATGCTGGAAGACGACACGAAAGAGTACTGGGGATTCTACTTGTTGAAGGGAACTTCGGTGACGCTGTCCACTTGCGTAAGGTCGATATTTTCGTACAATTCGAAATTACCACCAACTCGTCGATTATTGGCGGTTTCAGATGGCCCGGGGCATCGCTGATCATGATCAGAGGCCACAAGCACCTGCACGAGTGCGCCTACATAGGAGACAACTCGTCGGAGGAGCTCGCCGAGCAAATGGAGTCGATCAAAGAGAACATCAATTTCGAATCCGACGAAAAGAAAGCCGATCAACCCGCCAATAATCCCTCGAACATGAAACGGTATAGACCCGGAGTGCACTTCCACAGCCCCTTGTACCAGAACATCAATCAAACCGAAAGTTTGGAAGCAAACACCGACAACACTGAAATAACAGGTAAACAACCAACACCAATTCCATACTTATACTTAAAATAATTTTTATTAGACATGAAAGACATGCGAAAGATCCTGCAAGCTCTACGAGAACGAACCAACGCTTACAAAAGCAAGTTTTTCCAAAAACCCAACAACCACGTCCACAGGAACTCCACCATAGCGGCTGGCGAGTCGAAGAACTTCAAAATCGACAAGCCCAAAAACGAGACGTCCTCCGAGGAGGCGCTGTCGGACATATTGGACAGATTGAGGAAAATGGGCGAGAAGGGTTCGAGAATTTTGGAAAAGGTGAACGAGAAATACAACGAAGCGAAAAACAATACCGTGCTGGACATCAAAGCCAGGCATTACGCCAAACCTGCGGTTGATTTCGGCGATGCGATAGACCAGTTGAGGCGAAGGAAAAGGGAATTGATACTCCACACGGCTCTAGCCGATAACGAAGATGACGAAGAACACGATATGGCTATCGAAGAAGTAGGTGATTAGTTGTGTAGACTCATGCACAATAAATTTATTTCCGATTTTATATTCTATAAGGGGTTCCATCCTGATGGTATAGCAGACCACAGAGGTACCATCAACGAAACCTCATTGAACGACATGAGCAACAGCGAGTTCTGGTCGTCATTCTCCAGTTCCGAGGAAGCTCTACTAAACTGCGCCGGTTTAATACTCAGCCTACCGCTAATGCCTCACAGAAAATGCATCCAAGACGAGGTAAACGAAGAAAGCTACAGAGACAACAAGGTCACCTACAAGTCAGTACTTTCATTTACACTGAAGCCCCTTATAACCTACCGTTTCTTGGATTTCAGAGTACCAGTCAACGGTTACTACTTCTTCGTGTTCAACAGCGAGAACGAGGTGCAGACGAACTTCGTTCGCGTGCAATTCGACATCGACAAGACCGTTTACAACGTGTCGAACGCCGTGGCCGAATGCCTCAACAAATCGGAGAGCTGCTCCATCGATTTGGACTTTTTCTCGTCGGAGAAACTGGTCATGGAGCTGCCGGTGGTGCAAAACGAATCCCTGTGGAACGAGGAGTACGTCGTGGTGTCCGAATGCGAACCGAGAACCGCGATTTACGCCGTTTTCGTTGTGCTCGTGCCCATTTTGGTCGTCTTTTTCGCGTTCGTTTAAACCTTCTATAGGTGATGGTTTTTAAGAATGTAAGAGGAAACTTACTCGAGACTTATATACAATTTTAATTCATAGAAAAGGTGATGATGTAGCTGGTATTTCTAGTCAGTTTTAATAATTAATGAAATAGTTTAAATTTAAAAATATTTAAGTTTGTCATGGCTGTAAATTTAAGGTACAAATATTGTGATGGTTTTAATATAATGTAACTGATGTTGATTTTAAGAAATATACGTATTTTATAAATTATTGCTTATTTTGAATTATTGTTATTATTGCTCAATCCGGCACTGTTCGATTTACTATGTAGCTTGTAACCTACTAAATAAAAGTCACGTATTGTTTTGAGTGAAAAAGAAGAATCAAACGTCAAAATCAAAAATATTAGGTTATGTTTTTAATAATTGTTGATTTTTTTCTATTTTAAGTATGAAGCAGTTAAACATTTGAACTGTTCATTATAATAAAGAAATACCTGAACATTTAATTTAACATAAACAGTAGAATACCAAAAATATCAATTTTTTTGGCAAAATTCATAAAATGATAGCCAGGAAACTGCCTGAGGAACAAACCGAGCAACTCGCCTGTAACGTGGAGGGATGCGACATGACTTTCCCCAATACAAACCAATTAGAATGGCACAACAAAAAGCACGACATGATGTTGAAATTGAGCCTAATAAACCAAACTAACGAGACCAATAACGAAACACCCACTCCGACCAGGTTCATAAGGAACTGCGAAGAAGTGGGCCTGTTTCAGGACCTGCAAAACGTGAATCCCTTCGATAACATGTTCAAAAAAGCCGCCGATTTAGCCAAGAACGGCGTTATGGCGGAATTCGAAAGTGCCAATTCAAACGACAGTTTGCACACCCCTCACATCTTGCCTCACACCAACGAAACGCCTCACACGGACGACGAAACACAACAAAGCAGGACTTTACCAATGGACGGCGTATTTTTCGTGGAAATGTTCCCAAACAACAGCAACTCCGATGAAGAACTAATCATAATCGATGATGCAGAAGAGATCTGCAAAAAATCTTCAGAACCCCCTAAAAATCCCGACTCAAACGAACCAGTAGCTGCAGCAGATGATGAAGGGGACAAATCAAAGAAACCCGTGATTAAATTGGTGCCTGTTAAAAAACTGATGCCTAATAAAAAACTGAACTCCAACAAAAGAAGACAGTTGACACAGAAAGAATGTAACAGGGCGTCCCAAATGCGGTGCAGGTTAAAGAAGAAGCTGCGGTGGGATCAAATGATCGAAGATTTGCAGACGCTGAGAGAGGAAAATAAAAAATTAAAATTAGAATTAACGTTGTTGATGCAAGAGCATAGCAAGTGCCCGTCAGGTACGACTCGAAATATATTCATAAAACCAGCGTGTAATTTTTAATTGATTTTTTAGTTCCTACTGTTCAGCCTGTCGTCAAAACAGAACCAGCACAACCAACAAGCAGGATTACGGTACCAACAACGACCTCAACAGTACCAATAACTTCCCAGTTACCTTTTCTGGTTCAAATCCTTCCAAATGGTCCACCGGTAAAACCTTTAGTTACTCCTTGTCCTAAGCCAGTAAAACCATTAATCTCTCCTTTGAAACCATCAATGCCCTTAAACCCTCCTTTGAGGCCTAAAAGCCTTCCTTTAAGCCCGTTAAACCCTCCATTGAGACCTAAAAGTCTCCCTTTGAGGCCATTGAGGCCATTAATCACGTCAGTAAACCTTCCTTTGACATCCACAAATCTTCCTTTGATATCACCGAACACTCCTTTGAGTTCTTCCAAACCTTCTTCGAGAACGTCAAAACCTCGTTTGAGATCATCAAAGCCTAATTTAAGGTCATCTAAATCTCCTTCGAGACCCTCGAACCCTCCTTTGAGACCTTTAGTGCCTAAAAGTATTCCATTGACAATTACCGCACCGATTATTCCTATCACTGCGGTCGCACCGACGCCTAGAAAAACAGTGAAGATAATAACGGTTGGCGATAAAATTGTAGCAGGACGGACGGGGCGCAGGTTTTGTAATATCGCTCCCAGGAAAAAAAGTTAAAATTCTATTTAGATATTTTGTAAGTTTTAGAATAAAAATTGATTATTTTTTTATAAATTGAGTCAATAATGCACTTACCACCAGCATGTTGTTTATTTACTGTTGGAGGGACGAATTTTTACACAATTTTAATTTAAAAATATACGTGAAAACTTTTTTCGCATTTAAATTTTTGAAAATTGACATATGACATCTGCCATTTGTCATTAAAAATTCTTCTAAAAGACTTGATTTTCTTAATTCTTTTGAATATATTTAAGTTTTTTTTTTAATTCTGGTTCTATACAATGGTATCTCTACAATTATAGTTAAATAAACATTTTAATAAAACATTTTAACCAAAGTAGCTGTTTACAATAAACAGTAGAGACATCAAATTTCAATTTGAAAGAAGAAAAAGTGCGGTGTAAGTATGACATTTGACAGTTCGATTTGTTGAAAAGTGAACTTGCATATTTTTTACGTTCCCAAAATATATCAAATTATCCATTACAAACGTTAAATATCCGTCTAAGTCTACCATGGGATCCATAAAAGTGATAAGCGATGAGGCCCATTTCCAAACTGAACTCGCCAACGCAGCAACTCGTCTCGTAGTAGCCGATTTCACTGCCACTTGGTAATTCTATTCAATTTCAATAATTCACAGTAATAAAGTCAATTTACCCTCTAAATAGTGTAATCTTAGCTATTATTAACCTATTGCCTTTGAATTACAGGTGTGGACCATGCCAGAGGATAGGGCCAGTGTTCGAAGTATTGGCTGCGAAATATCCTCGAGCTGTGTTCTTGAAGATTGATGTCGATAACTGTCAAGAAACTGCTGCGTCTCAAGGCGTGTCCGCTATGCCTACCTTCATATTCTATCGCAATAAGGTAAATAAATGTAAATACATGTGAAGTACGTTGCAATAAATTCACTGGAATTTTAGACAAAAGTGGATCGTCTGCAAGGCGCTGATCCTGTATCGCTGGAAAATAAGATACAGCAATACTATGGAACTGAAGACACCGAAGAAGGTGAAGGAGTCGCTGGACATGTATGTATAAAACTACCCATCGAAATGTATGTTTAAATGATTTGGGTTTTAGATGGATTTATCTCCGTTTATTTCGAAATCGCAATGCGAGTGTTTGAATGAAAGCGATGATCATCCTTTGGCCCATTGCCTTACAGCCAGTGGAGGATTCTTACAATCGGATTGTGATGAACAGGTTCGATATATTCACTTTTTAACTCTATAATTATATTGATTAATCTATTTTTTAGTTGATAATATCGATTACGTTCAACCAATCCGTGAAGATTCACAGTTTACGAATCACCGCGCCTTCCGATAAAGGTCCTAAGAGTGTGAAAATTTTCATTAACCAGCCTAGAACTTTGGATTTCGATATGGCCGATAGCTATACGAGCGTTCAAATTCTCGAGTAAGTTTCTTTGATTGCTTAAAGGTATAAGCGTGGTAATAAATTATTTGTTTTAGCTTGGAGCCCAGTGACGTGGAAGGAAATCCTATCAATTTGCGCTTCGTGAAGTTCCAGAACGTACAAAACATCCAGTTTTTCGTTAGGGATAATTTAGGCGGGGGTGAAGTCACTCAAATCGATCACTTAGCTATTATCGGATCGCCCATAAACACGACTAATATGGGCGATTTTAAAAGGGTTACCGGTAAAAAGGGCGAAAGCCATTAAAAATGCATTTAACAGGTCTATACTTAAACATCCTCTAATATTTTCAGTTAAAGTTAAAGCAAATTAAACGATACGTTTTTTTCTTGATGTTTTTTAGTTTCAAAAATGATATTCAGAGATTATGCAAATAACTGTTTTTTATATTCAATCTTGTGCAAAAAGATACAACTGTCTAACTACAGTGACAGATACAAAAGTGACATACTAGACAATTGACATTGACATAACCGCGAAAATACAAATTTTACTATCAACAAAAAATTTAATTATTGCAAATAAAAAGAAACCAATGAATTGATTTTGTGGTTACTCGGTTGTTAAATTTTGATCAAAAAATACCTACTTTTTATACAACAATACTGGATTTTAATAAAATACGATATACAAAAACTAATATATAATAGATATGTAAGTTAAAATATTGCATAGATAAAATTAGCGTTTACTCGGATAGCGCGCACAGCATGGCAACACCGCGCATAATCCAATGAGACTGTGGTTTGTTGGACGGCATAAAGACAGGAATTACGAAATTGGTGGAGTGTCCAGTAGTGGATAGCACTCCTCGTCTTTCAGCGGTTTTATATACGGGGGTCACGTATCTCTCGCCCAATGATAAGTTCTCTCGCTTCAAAGGCTTCATCCAGATCTACAACAGACATTCCCAGCATCCAGATTCTTGCCAGATTATCACAAAATTCTTACGTATGGCACGGTGTCGTACAGCACTTTCGGATAGGATTCGTCCACAGAATATATTTGCATGTTCCAACGAGCTCCGTCCAGAAACAGCCCGTAAACGAACACACCATCATCCGGCGCTTTGTTAACTTTAGCTTCTCTTAGAACCTATTCAATTAAATATTTATTAATAAGCGAAAGTGCTCGTTATAAATTACTTACCTCGAAATCGAAAGCCAACAAATCGATGGGAATTTGATATTTCCTGGCGTAATTCTGCTGGGCCCCCGTCAAGAAGGCCTGCGTGAAAAAGAAGCCGGATAACCAGAAGGTTTTCGGCGCCCCTCTGTCCATCCAGCTCTGAAGAAGGCGTTAATAACAACAAAAATCGACTATAAAAACTCGACTAGGTACCTGCAGGAAGCTCAACCTCGCCAGGAAATCCTTGACGTAACTCCCGAGCGGCTTCAGCGAGGGATAAGACACGCCCGCCCACAATTTGGGGATCCTCCCGGTCAACATGCTCGACACCACCTCTTCCAACTCCAGCGACATCACGATCACTCCCTTGATGGCCTTCTTCACGTTCTCCAGGCTCAGCCGGATCCGGTTGAGCAGCACGTTGAACCTGGTCATTTCTTGCACCAGCACCGTGTTCATGCTCTGCTTGTAGGACGTGGGGTACATTTCCATCGCCTTGTCTCGGTCGAACGAGGGCGGCAGTTTCTGCAGAATGTCCGAAGCCACCTCGAAGATGACCTCGTCGGGGGACTTCTCCGAACCGCCGCTCGACATGGCGTCCTAGGAAATCCAATGGAAAAATTATCGAGAGGAGGGAATCGAGTGAAAGCTCGTTGATAAGGATTAAAGTTGGGTGAATGAGCAGGAAGTGTATTGTAAAATATTTGTTTGTAGGTTGCAAGAATTAAACTGTATTAGAAAACTTACCAATTTCAGCAACTAGGTAGGTTAATTGAAAAAACGATTTAATTAGAATATTTCCTGAGTAAATTCGTGACAGCTTTAATAATTTTTATACTTACATGAAGCTCCCAAACGTCCTTCAGACAGCAACAAAGTATCGTTTACAAAAAATCTAATTTATATCTTATATCATACACTTACCGTTCTGTCCTAATTGCAGTAGCATTTAAAGAGATTTTCAATGAATAAAACTAATAGAATTTCTAATAAAAAAAATAAAAAAAACCAACCTGCGTAAGAAGCGTGTTAGTAAAAAGCAAATCGGTTTCCTGCTTATCCTTCATAATGTCCGCGTTTTCGTGCATACCGAACACTTCAGGATGACTAATTAACGGTAATGTTCTCGTATAAGCGATGTAATCCTCGTAATCCGTCTTCTCTGGTACATAATAAATACCTATAAAAAGATTTTTACCTTTACAAATATCCCTAACTCAAACTCCACCGGCGTTACCCGAAGGATCCAAAGGATGCCGAATATTATCAACCACCAATGGCGAGTAAAACTTCTTCAGGATCGTCGATAAAGTCCTTCGATCCCAATCATCTGTTACCCTACCACCGTAATTACATTCGCCGGTCAAATACAGAATAGCTTCATATTGAATATCCTACAAAAAAAAAGTATCATTGTGCAACCACTATGCTCGAGGCAGAGTGTAAACGGTACCTCGTATTGATTGAGGAACATTTGCAATTGCATAACGCTGATCCTGAAATCGGTCTCGTTGAATTCGTACGGTATATTCCAACCCAAAGGACCGAATTTCCTTCTCTCCTGGATGCTGGCGTGGAAGAAACACAAACCGTACAAGAGCTTCTTGAACGGCATCGGTTGCTTGCACTGCTCGTACCATTCCGGATCGCACACTGGATCGCTCAAATATGACCTACAAGATGATTAATTAATCAACATGTACTAGAGCTACGCATTTGTATACCTAATGATGTTGTTTTTGAGCCCTTTAGGCGGCTCGTTGGTCATTTTCACGCCGTTTTGCAACACCAGCACGGGGAAATGATCCGCCGGATACGAAGTCAACCACAACCTAAAATCCGGATGGGTGGAATCCGGCGTTAAATTCTCGCAAATCTACAACACACAAATCTCGCAAACTCCGGCGTACACTAAAAAAAACCACCCCCTCACTTTCTCCAAATTCGGCATGAAACTCTTGGCCAAATGGCAGTTCTGCAGCACCACCCACGTGCCGTTCTTCACGCCGTCGTCGATGAGCCTCATGGCGATGGGCCCTTGGCCTTGGCCCAGCGACAGGGCGAACAATCTGTTGGTGCCGAAGCCCTGGTCGTCGGCGAATTTCAGCAGCACGCCCGTGGGATCGGAGCCCGGCGTCAGGATGAAGATGAGCGGAATGCAACAGTGGGAATCCGCGTAGGACGACACCAGGTCGAAGGGCGGCGGTTCGATGTACTTCCTGCCGATGCTCTCTGGAAGGAGGCGATTAGATGTTTTAATCACAGCCGGCGGTCTCGCTTACCTAAAACGAAGTTTTGCACGGCCGGTACGACCTTGTCGTATCTGAACACCCGCAAAATGACCAATTTTTGGAGCATATTCAAATTGGTGTTCCACGGTTCCGGGAGGTCGATCTCCTGCGGCTCGCCGGAATCGAACAGCACCTTCCATTTCTCGTGGTTCTCGAGGAAGTGGTCCAATAATCCGCTGAAAAACGATGCCGTTAAATGATTACGTAGACAAATAAACCGCGATATTTACTGGAAAGCGAACAAATCGGTGAGCCTGCAAAGTTCGTCCCAGGATTTTTTCACCAGCCACGTCGTGGGATTAACGTTAAAATTCTCCAATCCCACACCGCCGGTGAGGAAGAACATCCATTCGGCTTTGTTCAATTCCCCGCGATTGTCCATTAGATTGATCGTCAAAAGTAGAGAGTACAATAATTTATCCTACAATAAATTAATAAAACATCTAACCAACCATCAATGCTTTTTTTTTGTATTATAAATACCTTTTCGAACAAACTTCTGCAGATATTCACATAGAGCGAATAAGTGAAGTACTGCTCTAAATCTCTCAGTCTATCGGCGACGTTTTCCACTCTTTCGGTGTTGTCTATAGCGGATTTGTACAAATTAATGAACCAAGCCAGCGAATATTGGTACATGGGATCGATGTTTGCCAGCTCGGCTATGGTGAAGAACAATATCGTCGTGTGTATGGATATAGGGGTGTACTCCAATCTGGCGGTATCGATCTGTTTTTCGGTAACCTCCGCTATGGCTTGCTTGGCGGCTATATCGTTGGCCAGTATTTTAGAGGAACTCAAAATTTGCACGGCCGTTTCGTCCTCTAAAATGTTACCTTGCGACGTGCTGAGCACGAATAGAATCTTATCTTCGATTTCCTTCAAAGCTCTACCGAAATAAATATTAAATGTATAAAACACAAGAGTCGTGTGAAAGTTATTTTACCTCTTATTTTCCGCGCCTTGAACGATCAAATTGTTCTTTTCCGCTTCCAAATCGGGTCGTTCTTTGGCTACTGTTATGCCCAAAATTTGATCTTGCAAACCCACTTTGGTGATCATGAAATTCACCAAAGTCACCTTCACGGCTACCTCGGGTAAGTAATGGGGGTTTCTAAGCTTCGTTGTTATGTAGAGCCTGTAAATAATTTGGTGTGTTTATTAGAGAGTATTTGGTGATGCAAGATAAATTACTTGAATTTCGAACAATATTCAATAACGGAATCGCCCAATTTCAAGCACATCGCACCGCCTTGCTTGAAGGTCTGTTGCGCCAAAACGGGTTCCAATACCGGATCGATTTCCTCGTTAATATTTTCCAGTAGTACCTGAAATTATTGTATTAATTGTCTCGAAGGAGTTGATAGAAAGTTTACAGTTTTTTTACCGGTTGACCAAACTGTATAGCGTTTTCCAATATTCTAACGTAATCGGCTTGATTTAATCTGATGATGGCCAAATTGTTGGCTTTCTCCATGTTTTTTATCCATTTATTAGCTTGCCCTTGTGGATCGATCAGCAATGCATAACGACGCGCGTTTCTAAAACCAATTTGCAGTTGCACTTTCAGCATATTTTAGAATATTTTACTCACGATATAATAATGCCGTTATCAACGCTGAAGCTGTCCGAAGGCAAGCCGAAAATGCTCCAAGCCCTAATGACGACCGGATCACCCAAAACGGTCGTCAATTGGAAATCATGATTGCAAACCACCCCGCTCTTCGTCAAACTCTCCACCCATCTCTTCGTCTGCTTATTCCGAAACACCAACGTGAACGGACCCAAGTAAGCCACCACGCCGGCGGCCAACAGTACATCGCCCGTCAATATCAGGTAAACCTGTCCCAAATCGTAGGCGATCTGCTTCCACCTGTCCTTCTCGCCGCCCAAACCGCCGATCAGCTCCTCGGCCCTCTGCAATTTCATCTCGCACATTTCCACGTCCTTCTCCAGATTCGCCAGCTTCAGCTTCTCGCTCTCGAGCACCGCCTCCAAGCGGGCCACGTTCTCCTGGGCGGCGCGCAGCTGCGCCCGCTTCGTCTCCAGCTCCGACATCGCCGTCGCCAGCATGCCCTCGGCCACCGCCAGGGCGGCCTTCTTCGGCGCCACCACCTTCACCACCTTGTCGTACTTCGCGATGGCGATGATCCACTTGCACAGGCCCTCGGCGGCCGTCGACGCCGTCTTGATCTTGTCCGGATCGAAGTTCTCGTCGTTGAGTATCTGGTGCTTCAGCTTGTCCATCACCTTCGGCGGTATGTTGTCCTTGTCGAAGTTCATCAGGCTCTCCAGGAACCTGATGTCGCTGAGGAGCTTCAGCGACGGGCCCCAGTAGTCGTCGATCAGGCCCATGCCGCTCGGCGCCGGCACCCTCTGCGGCTTCACCTCCTGCAAACCAACGATCAAACAAAAATAAAAACTTACTTAGCAAATCGGTACAATTTATTTGTTGCTAGTAAATGAAATATCCCGTTAACAATTGAGTCTCAAATCGTCCTCTCTAACTCCGTTATCCATCCATTCGTAGTTGATTTCGTGTTGCCATTGCGACTCCCTCTCGTAGTACCATTCGATCCTCCACTGTTGCATGGTCTCCATGTCGCTGGAGGTGCTGTGGAAGCTCAGCGCTTCGTCATCGAGCTCGAACAACGTCCGGCTGCCGCATCCTCGGTCAACCAGGTTGCGGCGCAACACCGACCAATCGATCGCCGTGCCGACCGAAGAAAACTTCGAAACGTTCCGGCGGGATTTGGCCGCGTCCGGCGGTTCGGACGAGCTCGGACTCGCCGACGATGAGGCTTCGCTGTCGCTCGGAGCATCGGATTGCGAACAATCGGCGTCGTCCGGTTGATGGTCGGTTGCATCTTTGAATGAATCCGATCCACTGTTGTCACTCATAATTTTGCGAAAAGTTGACGCGGTGACCGAGCAACGCGCGACACAGGCGCTTGTACAGGATGTTTGTTTGGAAGAAGAGGCTCGTTTGTACGAAATATACGTTACCTTAACGATGCATACCGCCTCCATAACTAACTTCACGCCCTTCGGTGGATTCTTCATCGCCTTTACGAGACTGATATCGGCCGGTGTTAGAGTGTTCAAAGCCTCTAAAGCCGCCTCCATGATGGGCATAGCTTCGGCCAAATTGGCGTCGCAATCGTCTTTGATCGCCTGCGCCTCTGTAATTAAACAAACCTTTTCGTATTGGATAACGTGAAATTGTTCGAAGCATTACCTCTGGCTTGTTCCCCGGCTATAGCCTCATCGGCCTTGATGTGCTCCTCTTGGATGGCGGCCTCGCGCTGTTGATGTTCCACAATTATCATGGTTTTTTGCACGTTAGCAGCGGCGACGATCAATTGAGGCTGCAAAGCCTCCAAGCTGCTTTGCATCACCGCCACCTCCGCCCCGGCCGTGTCCAATTTCTCCACGCCGACTTCGTAGCGCTTCTTCAACTCCAAAATTTCCCTAATCAGAAACGCGCAGGAATTATCGTTGAGTTATAGTGAAAGCGATGGGGAGGCTCACTTTCGTTTTTGCAGCAGGAACGTTTTGAACGTGTTGATCATTTCTAAATACGATGTGGGCGTTACGTAGTTGTATCTTCTGAGCCGTTTGAAAAACTCCTCGGATAGATCCTGAGTGGACATGTGGAACAATTGGCACATGTCTATGCAGACCTTCTTCTCGTGCGGCGACAGCTCGATTTCGCCCAAAAATCTCGTCGCCACCGCCATCAAAGCGTCTTCGGGCCATTTCTAATTAAATCAATCAAAACGTTCGCTTTCAATGAGCAATTAGAAGTAGCGCAGGCGCGTACTTGGAACCAATCGATGGTGCAACAATTCACCAAAGCCGGAAACTTCCGCACGCGGTTCCTGAAGCTCGCGCCGATCGGCGACATGGTCAAAATCAAATGCAACTGCTCCCTGACGATTTGCACGAAGAAATTGTACAGGGCCGGCGGGCTGCCGTCCGTCTGCAGCGCCTTGTCGCGCTGCCTGTCCAGCTGGCGCATCTTCTCGCACAGCTCCATCTTCTCTTCGGTGGTGAAGATGTTCGGCACCTCGCCGGAGTTCATCAGATTGCTCAAATCCTCCAAGAACGCCTCCTCTTTGATCTGGCTGTCGGAGAACATGAACACGCCTGGAAAGAGTATTACAGCGAGTATTACAGCGAGTTTTTCGCCTAGCGGGTGGACTTACTGGGCAACTCCGAGCTGCTGCTCTTCTTCAGTATCGACTTGACGTCCTCGCGCCACTCGAACACGCCGTAGGTGCGCGTTATTTCCACCTGGTACAGTTCGTATTCGGAAATGTGCGCTGATAGTCTGGTGAGCGATTGCCTGCCGGATCCGCCGATGCCCACGCAGAGGCCGTGCGAGCGCGGCTGCTTCAGAATCCTGCAGATCTTCGACAGATGCTCCACGGCGAACCTAAACAAGCCAAAACGCGCTTCGAAAAACGAAATAGAATCGTAAAAATATACCTAAATAGTACGAGATTCATCGGTTTCTTCGACATGTTGTTGAACTCGGCCAAGTAACCTTCCACGATTTTGGTCAAATCGTCGATGTTCAACACTTCAGTGTAATTCCTGGTGTCTGCTTGCGGATTGGCAAAGTCGCAGTAAATTAAATTTCTCAACTCCGGTTCTCCAATCTGAATAAAAAATCACCAACGCTATACAAACACCGACCTAGCGGAGGAGATAGTGGGAGAGATTTCCTTACGCGTTGTCCTTTCCTCTTCAACCTGGTGAACATTTCGTCGAGGTTCTCGTGGAGGTACACCTCGCAGACGTCGTGCAACGCCTCGCATATCCACTGGCGATCCGATTCGTCCACCAATCTGTCGTAGTACACCCGGAGCACCTCGTGCACCCACAGGCGTTTCATCGCCACCAAGTCCTCGATCACCTCCGGTACGGACAACAGCACTCCCTGGAAAGAACGCGACGTTAGTCGAAAAAATCGAAGTGCTTACGGTCGGAGACGGTTACTTGTATCACTCTGGAGAAGTCCCGCAAGTTGAACAAGTAGTGAGACTTCGTGGGAGTGGGTAGAAGGTTCAGTCTGGCTTGTTTGAATGTTTCCAATGTGGCGTTGACGATTTCTTCTATGCACGGATCGAATTCTTTGGAAAACCCTCTGAAAATGCGCGTAACAGTGAATGTAACACTCGACTCATCGTATGCATTAGTAAAAATCGTTACCTTGTATCCAAATGCCACAGCATAATCTTGCCAAATATGTTGATCAATACAGATTCCTGAAACTCGTCGATGCACAGATGATTGAAGTGCCTCATGAATCGCGGCGTTATCACGTTACCGCTGCCGCCGGGAGGGCACATCGCGCAAATGAACTAAAAACCCTTCGTTAAATACCTTGTAAAAAATTTTATTGGCTATTTACCTGTATGTCAATGAGTTTCATCGGCACGATCTCCTTGAGATCGTACCACATTTCGTGATCGAACCATTGCCTCAGCAATTCGATGGGCGGTTGGGCCCCGTACACTTCCTTCACCGGCATGTTCACGTCGTCCACAAATATGATGCATTTCTTCAGCACAGGAGGGCCGAATACCCCTAAAAAAATCGGCATAATTGCTTAGTATTGCGCTAGATTTATTAGAGAAACTCGACGAGTACCTTTACGCCTCTTGTCCAATTTAGCCATGATGATATTTTGCGTTTGATTGGCGGTAGTTTGAGCGGAGAAATTGATGAACAACGGTATGTACATCTTCGAGTTTTTCTTCAGCAGAAAATCCTGCAATACGTAATTTTATAGACGTGCAAATGCAGTAACCTTGTCAAAAAACTAACTGTAATATACACCGATTTTCCGGTTCCCGTTGGACCGACAACAATCATGTGTTTATCGTGCTGCATCACCAACATCATTATAGCGATGTTCCTGATGGTTTCCACCGTGGTGACGATGATCTGGTTGATGGGAATGTCGCGCGGTATCGGCGGACAGCTGAGCAATTCGTCCTCCCACAGCTTCCACTTGCCCTTGCCCTCTTTGATAAATCTGTAGTCGAAGACGGTCTGCGCGGCGGGTATGGAGAAGATGTACGGCTTGTCGGGCTTGAGGACGCGATGGGGCAGCTCGGGAAAGGAGTCTATCAGCTGCGGCGGAACTTCCTTTTCCAGAAGCATTCTGGAAGCGATGGATGAAAGAAATTGTTCGTTGATTGATTTGTATCGAGTACCTGAACATGTAGCTGAATTGTTCTCTGCTGTTGTTGTCCAACGTGCCGCCCAGGCCCCATATGCACGAGAAGAAAAACGAGCCTTCTATTTGCGCCCTAACGTCCAAATCGGACACTTGCTCTCTGTATTTCTCGTCGTAGAAATCGTCCATGAAGCAATCGAACATGTTCATCGTCGATTTGACCAGATTGTGATCTTGGGACGGGCAAATTTCCTTTAAAAAAATACACGGTGTTAATTTATTACGCTGTATCTACCATAAAAAATATGTTTCTACATACTTTAACGCCGCCCTTTTTAATCAACCACAACAAAGGTTTGCAGAATCTCAGGAATAAATTGAACAGCATCGCCTTGTAGAAGTCGTTATTGATGAAAGGCGGCAGCACGTTCAACCAAGACATCAGCATGGGTTCCCAACCCATCGCCATCGGTTCCAAGTAAATCATCCCAACTCTCGACACCTACAACATTTATTAAATATTTGCCGAATTCGAAATTCAGCCGAAACAAAAGGAATTTCGTACTGTAGCAGGAGAGGCTACATCCAAATCCATCGGTTCGAACATTAGAGTGGTGGTGTTGGCCAATTGAATAATCTCGCCGGACATCAGGCACAATTTTTTATTGTCATCTAACACAGTGTTCATGTTTTCGATCCAAACAGCGTCCACTGGCCCGTCGAAAATCAACCATTTACTACACAACAATTTCACCATCAAACATACTGGAAACTATCGATTAACAAACTACACTCTCACCGATCTTCCGTGGTCGACATCGCGAAAAATCTGAAGCTAATCGCCAATATCCCGTCCGACCATTCGTGCGATATGGCATCGAATTGCCCGTACAATTGCCCCATCGTGATCGACTTGGGATTCATGATGATGTACACGGCCCGGTGCTCGTCCATACCGCCCTGGAAAATCGTACTAGCGCAATCGAAAATCAAACGAAAATCAGCTCAGATCGGTTACCCTTTCTTCGACCAGGCCGAGCGCGTCCGCCAGCACCCTGTAACAGCTCGTTTTGCCGGCGAATGGCAGCCCGACCAGCATGAGGCCGTGCCGCACGTTGATCATCTCGTACAGCTGGTGGACCTTCTGCAGGAAGAACGGCGTGCATTGCAGATTCACCGTTTTGCACTGGTCTTTAACGGCTTTGTCCAAAATCACGTAGTCCGGCTCGGGCAGCACCACGCCCGGGAACAAATCCGACGTTATGCCCTAAATACACAACAATTAGTCTACCGCTTCTTTAGAATTGAATGCGAGTGAGTACCTCGAATAACGGTACGTCTTGTTCCAAAAATTTAGCCAAATTAATATCGATGATAGACCTCAATACCAATATATCCTCCTTCTCTTTGGGGTATCTCAGTTTCAACGAACCAGCGGCTCTTAGTACAGATTTCACTGCTCTCATTCCTGCAATATAAACCATCGCGAAAAATTTAAACAGCGCTTTAGTAATACAGCTGAACTAACCGTAATCGTAATGGCATTGAGAAGACAACTGTTCCGAGCACAATCTGTAAGTAGCCACGATTTTAACAGACAACGGTTTGGCTATCAGAAATCCGAAAGCGTACAGCTCGATTTCGGATATCAGGGCGTAATCGGGCACCATCATCGCCACGGATCTGAACAGAGCCTTCAAATTATCCGGCAATTCGGATCTACCGGCGTAACCTGAAACGGATCGAATCGCAAACGAGCTTTCGCTAGAATGTCTCTTCTCTATAATCACCTGGATTCATGGTGATGAAGCAAGCGCAGGTGGGATCCAACGTGATCTCCGACCCTTCGAACATCATCTTCTCGGCGCCGGAATTGATGCCTCGCTGGATGGTGAGGATCTGCTGGGCCACCACCGATAACACTTCCAGATCGATTCGATTGAATTCGTCGAAGCAAGACCAGGCTCCGCAAGAAGCCAAACCCTGCGAATTTAACTATGTACTATCGGTTTTTGGATACCGGACACAAACCTTGAAAAACTTTCCCAAAGCGATGTAGTCCAAACCGTCGGAGCAATTGAACACCACGCACTGCTTGGCCACGGCTTTCGCTAAATCTTTGGTGGTTTCGGTCTTGCCGGTACCTGCTGGACCTTCTGGAGCTCCTCCTACGAGCACACAAATTAAACCTAAAGGCTTGAAGGATTTAATGACTAACCTAAATGTAGATTCAGCGCTCCGAATAGAGTTCTGTAACATCTGTCAGTTAATGGAGTCACTACGAGCCTAGGGGTGTTGCCCAAGTATTCGTAACCGTACGGCAACATGCTGTTTATCATTTGTGTGATCATGTTATTATCCTGAAATATAAATATTTTAGAGAAATGATATGATTGGGTGCTGTACTCACCTCCCAGTAGTATCTCAATTGACACAACCACTTGAAATCGAATACGTTTTTGACTCCATCGTTGCACAAGCCGGCTAAAACGTCTCTGGCGTGGACATCTATTACAACCAAAGCTCCTGGAAATGATAAAGTTATTACACTACATCAAATATATACAATATACTTTACCTAAACTGATTCGATTTTGTAAATTGAGATAACCTCGCACTAAATCAACGATCTTCGCGATTTGATTGTTACATTTCACCAGATAATCTTTCAAAGCTTGCGGTCCTTGACTTATAGCCTGGGTCACTTCGGTTGTCCAAAAAGTACTACCGACGCACTAAAAAATAAATAATATCATTACATCCCCAAAACGCAGCGAGTGTAATTTACAATGATGCTCTGTCCGGGCCACAACAGCACCCATTTGTCTCTGATCTTCTTCGGATAGTCCTCGATGGCCATTTTTATGATGTTCTTGATGGATTTTTTCATGTCCACTTCCAATTCGACCAGCCACTTTTCCACTTGTCCTCTGGCCAAAGCGGTCGAAATAATGTCCACCAAAGGCACCACTTCGCCTTCGCTGGATTTCATGTGCGTCACGTCCAAGTCTTCGGTGAAATTCAACTTCGCTATGCCTTCGAAGCACTTCTTCAAATGCGGTTGGACTCTGCAATCGTAGCGAATGAGAATTTTCGTTGGGGCAAATCGAGAGGAATTACCTCGTGGGATCTTTCGTTTCGGATAAGATTTCTAGCAGTTCGTCGTTGGACAAGAAGAAGAATCTGGGGAAGTACAATCTCTTCTTCTCCAAGTAGTCGTTCAATCCCTTTTGGATCAGATCTAATAGGGCGTTGCTCTTCTTCAGTCTTTCGGCCATTTTTTCGATTTCTACTACCGACAACACCTTCGGGTCGTTGTACACCGTTTTCATCAAGTCTCTCCAAATCTAACAATAGTGGATTAGATCAATTTTGGGAAAACGAATTGTATTGTACGAGCTCACTTTATCCACAGCGCTGAATCTTCTTCCTTCCTCGGGCATTTGGTTTTGGATGTCAGGAGACGAAAATATCGGTTCTAAATACATCCAGGTAGCTTGTACTTTCAACCACTCGTCTAAGATCTCCTGCAGCAATTGCAATTTGGCTTCCCAAGCTCTAAATAAAACAAAAATATTTCGCATCGAGCATCAGACATAGATACACATGCTTACAGAGTTTCCTTTTCGAACGGTTTGATGTACGGCGAGTTCTTCATCGTTTGCGTTTTGATGATATGATCGTCCAGCATGACCTGTATATCATCTACAGCAGACACCACGTACGTACCGGTGTCTTTATACACCATCACGGTGAAGATGATGTCCTCCCATTCCTCGAACATCTTCTTCAAGCTCTTCTCCAGGTTGTTCTCTTTGGTGGCGGCTTCGGATATCGCCTCGAATTTCTCGATGTACTCGTTGAGGCCGTACTCAATTATTCGCTCCAAGGTGAGCTCGTCGGTGACGACTATAGGAAAACCGACGATTTCGGATATCTGCTCCCAATGGCGCTCCTTCATGCCCGGATTGCCCAGCGTTTGGATGATAGGCATGTGCTCTTTAAACGTCTCTATGCGCTCTCTCACCTACGAGATGGAGTTGTAATAGTATTAAAGAAACGGCGAAGTGAACTTACGTTTGTAGCTAACGATTGAGTTTTGGGTTTATCCGAGAATTGTTTCTCCAATTTGTAGACGTTCCGGTATATGTTGGATATGTCGTTTTCGATGGCCTCCGGATCGAAACTGCCCACTCTCGACGTCATCCAAAGGTTGTTTTTCGTCACGAATTCCATGCAATTGTCGAATAGCTTCTTGTACGGGTTGATTTTATCGTGGATTTTCTTGCGTATGGGATACTGGGAGAGCTCGTAGCCGAAGGCCGCTTCCTCTTCGTTGAACTCGTCGATTTTCTCCAAAGCTTTCACCAAGCGTTCGTCCAGTTTGGTGGCTTTCTTGAAATATCTCGGCAGTTCGTTGATGTCTCCCCAATTTTCCACGTCGTCCACCATTCGGGCGTACGTTTCCAATTCGGCGACGAATTTCTCGATTTTGACTTTGAGCGAGGCCTGGAATTCCTCGACTTTTACCTCGACCATCTGCCGGTGCTCTTCTATGATTTTCGGCATGTACAAGTACCTTGCAATCGATATAAAAATTACCCAAATATCGAGTTGAATAGCGACGTTACTCACCATTGGAAGGCGCTGTTGTTGACTTTCAACGACAGCGGGCTGAAGATTACGTGATCGGCTAAGAAAAGTATGTAAGCCATCACGTCCTTCAATTTGTCTTCCATTTCTCCCAATTTTATGGTTTCAGTATCGTTTACGAATGCTTGCAGGCTCACCAAGTGCATGGTGTTTTTGGGCGTACTGGTGGCCTTCTCGGCGATGGCTTGGTACTCTTCGATCAAGTTTTTGCTCATCAGCGCCAAGTCTTTAACGCATTTATCCACCAATTTGTCCACGAATTCCTGAGCGGCTATCTCGAGGGACCTCAGCAATTCCACTCTGTTCATGTCGTACACGCCCAAGCGCACCACGTACTCCGTGGAAAACGGTATTCTGTTGGTGATTTGCTCGAATTTCGTTATCTCCTCGTTCATGGTTTCCAACGTTTGTTCGTTCTAAAATAAATTGCTAAAGCAAGATGAAGTTTCCGATAAAAGTGTTACCTCTAAAAATCCGTTAATGTACGCCTCGTAGACGCCGTTTATCAACGGCAGAAACTCGTCGAAGTCTTGCACTCTCAATTCGGGACCGATCCGTTGATCTTCCAGCATCTCTTTGATTTGCTCTTTGTATTCATTGACTATATCGTTGTCGATTATCGGCTGAAATAGTAGTGTGTTGAAAGAGAAACGATAGTAGTAGTAGTAGTAGCTAAGCAATTCTTGCCTTCAGATAATTTTCCTCCTCTATCCAGTCCAAATACAGAGTGGTTTCCAATCTCGGTACGTCCATTACGGCCAGAATCATCATATCGATTAAAGCCACCAGCACGTCGCGGAAATTCTTAAAGGCCGGCTCGAACGTCAAGACGCTTCCTCTTTGCTGCAATCTGATTTGGAAGCCTTTATTGGCGTACTAAAATATATACAAAAAAATACATAAAAGAATCTAATTGAAACCTCGCGGGGCACCTTTATGTCCAAAATATAACTCATGTAATCGGCCAAGGAGTTGAGGCAGAGCGTGCGCAAATGCGAGGTCATGGTCGTGGCGACGGCGTTGTAGAACGCGTCCATTTTCTTCTTCTTGGCCGGATCCGGCAGCTGGCCCTTCTTGTTGCCCTGCAGAAAGATATCGGTGACGGCGTAGTAATATTTGCTCATCAATTGCTCCTTGCAATCGCTGATCTGCTTCTGCGTCACGTATTTGAACTCGTTCAGATCGAAAGCGCCGTCGTGGGCCTTCAGCTCGTTGATGTTCAACAACCGCAAGTTTCTAAACAAAAAAAAATACATAATTAACGATTTAGTTGTATGTTGCTTCTAAATTATACTGACATGTACTGTTTCTCCCATATATCGATGATGGCGGCGACGCACGGATTGATGGCGTGCAAGTTTCTGAAGATTTTCTTAGTGGACGCGGCGATGGAGGCCTTGTACTTGTTGCCGATTTCCTTCAGCTCCAGCCGTTCGCCCGTCAAGTCCTCGCCCACGGCGTTGACGAAATTGGGATCCTGCAGGACGAAGTCCACGATGGCCTTCTTCATCGCCAGAATGTAGTCCGATTTCACGTCGCTGATGCTCTGGCCTAGCGTCGCTTCGTAGCGCAAGAGTTTCTTGGGAATCAGCGCCAGGACCTGGGGAAATTCGTTGTAATATAGTCCGCGCGTGTCCGCGTATTTCTCACTCTCTTCAGGATGTTGTCGTCGATCGGCGCCACGAATACCGTATCGGCGCCATTTTTTATGTAGTAGTAGTAACGCAATAGCTCGTTTTCGTCGGCCGTGGGGGCGTATCCGTAGGCGTATTCGACTTCTTGCTCCTCTTCTTTGGCTGTTATCAGCTTTACCAAGCGCTTTCTGTACGCCTCCCTCTGTTTCCTCAATTCGGTGTATGAATGGAACTTAACCTGACGTTCGGCGGCTGGAAAAGTAGCATGTTGTAGGTTCTTTAGGAGTGTTTAATGGGCGTTGTACCTTGTTTCTTTTCGGCGGCTACTTGCTTCTTGTATTTGGGATACCCCGATGCCAATATAGGCTTGAGGATGGAGGGTGGTAAGGAGAATATCGAACGATCATGTATGTTGAAATCGGAGGGTAGGGTGAGCCTGGGTACTTTAATGTTTAGGTCGGTTCGGGCCTCTAATTCCTGTTGTTTATCAGTTATTTTTTTAACTAGGCGCTCCCTTACGAGGTCTCTTTTACAGCCCGATACTGTTCCTTCTGCAATAGAATATGTATTTCATTTTCATGGTAGAAATTGATTAAATAAATTGTTTCCGGGAACGTATGCTTAGGCATTTCTTTTTGGGTGACGTAAACTTAGGCATAACCAAAAGTATTAAACTCTAGGGAATGATGATGTGCGAGCAACGAACATTACCGAAAATTAACGAGTCATGTATTAGCTTAAAATGACTAGTTATTAGATTAATACAAGGTGTAATAATAAAAAATAATATAATACTATAGAATCAAAACGTTTTACTTCCTTATCGATGTAATATAGCTTAAATAATAACGAAAAATTCAATTCCAACCTCAAATTTTTACAAACGTCAAAATCGTATGTCAAAATTGGGTGTCACTTTCACTCATCTCTCATCTCCTTTACAAATATTTAAAATTCACAAATAAAGTTTAATTTTGTGGTACAAACAATTTAAAATAATGGTGAGTAAACCTACCGGTCATTATGTGAATTCAAAACCACATCATATTAAAAACATCGATAAAATTAGAATTTTCCACTTTCTGGAACCATGTAAAATCGTTCGACTAATTTTCTCGAGTTATTTACTTCACCATAGAAACGTGTCCGGTTTCAAATTAAAAATCGATCGAAATCGTACCGCTTTTCCGATTCGGATTTCAAATTTAACGTAAACTCCAAAATTGTCGACGTTCAAACAGGAAATATGCTATTCTTGTCTCTATGCAATACTTCAGTGGTAATTCTGTTGATTTTCGTTATGCAGATCATCGTTCGATCAGTCAGGCACTTTTGTCTGACCCATGCAAATTTCGGTACGGAGAAATCCCTCCTGGCCACTCTTCGCAAGAGAACCGGCTACACCTTCGCCAACTGCAAAAAGGCCCTCGAAATACACAACAATGACCTAATTAAAGCCGAAAATTGGCTCAAGCAGCAGGCGCAAGCCATGGGATGGTCCAAAGGTTCGTTTTACAACACATAATTAACCTTAATCTCCTGTTACTTTTCTGTTAATTTTTCAGCTACTAAATTAGAGGGCAGGCAAACCACTCAAGGCCTAATCGGAGTAGCCGTGGAAGAGAATAAGGGCGTACTAGTGGAGGTTAATTGCGAAACCGATTTCGTATCAAGAAATCAAGAGTTTCACAGCGTAGTCCAGGACACTCTAAATGCTTGTTTGTCTTATCTAAAAAAGCAGAGCGTGCAAGGGAAACTAACGAAAGTATACTTATAACACTCCTCGTTTATACTTGTTATAGCAATGCGTTGTTCCAGATTTGTTTGGATAGCGAGCAGCTGAAAAATTTGAAACTAGACGATGGGAAATCCCTGGCGGATCGATTGGCACTAATGATCGGAACTGTCGGTGAAAATGCCTCGTTGAAACGCGCGATGTGCATTAAAACAGCCCCGGAAATTCGACTGGCTGGTAAACAACCCATCTCTACACTAAACGAATCCATTAAATACTAAATAATTTGTAGGTTACGCTCATCCATCGAGCAACGATGATAAAACATGCCAACTAGGTAGACTCGGAGGGATCCTAGTGTACAAAGCAATCGAAGAAAACGAGAATACCAACGCTATCAGTAGAGGTGACTGAATAACACCATAAATCAGACCGTATATTCTTACATAACGATATTTTTTTATAGGAATTTGCCAGCATATTGTTGGTATGGATCCGAAGAAGATCGGTATGTCTACCGATGAACCGGTGGCGAATAAAGATGATGAAATATGTCTCATCCATCAGGAGTACCTCCTCGATGAGAGTATGACTGTCAAAGAGATCCTCGAGGAGAACAAATTGGAGGTTATCGATTTCAAACGGTTCGAATGCGGAGAATGTTCGAAAGCAGCCAGAGATCAACTTTTAGAATACGTAGAAACTTGCCAGTAAGGCGTTTTAGTTTATTTTTTTAACTATATTAGCTAAGTCGTTGTCGAAAGTAAATTAAAACGTAATGTCTACTTTATATTGTTTTCTTTTCCTGTTATTAATTATTAATTAGGAACTAATTAACAAGTAAAACGTTTATTTACCTATAAATTGAGTGGCAAGCAGTAACATGTTTTTAAAATCAGTCCATGTTTTAAAATATAACAAAAAAAATCACTTAAGAATATTTCGAAAAGTAATAACAAATCCGTCTTAAAATGTGCTTATAATTGTTAGTAGAAAAATCACAGTAGACATTTCGATTAATCAAAAAAGTATACGTAAAACACTTGAGCACAATTACATTTCAAAATGGTATGTAAGAGAAAACATTCGTGGAATCGACGTTTACATAACGGGTGTTTCAAAATGCCCATCAAAGAAAATCGGCGCTCGATCGATAAATAAAACCAATGATGATACATTTTGAAGCAGCACTTAAACTAATCTAAATGTAACTAAATAACAGCTGGTTGGGTTGCAAGTTGCAAATTCAATTCGTGTTTTAGTCCCAATTCGATGATATCAAATGCTTAAGCTTCAACAAACTTATATCCTAATTAAGGTGAGTATCAAATCGGACGTTACAGGGCGATTTCGAAGACGCCCCGCGACCAAAACGGCGATTTCGAGCAACTAAACCACGTCGAAAATTAATCAACTACACGCCTCACATCTTAAACTTGGAATTGGCGAGCGTCGTGAGCGCCTCGGCGGCGTCCAGCTCCTCCCTGCCGTGCAACAGCGCCGAATTCTCGCTCTTTTTGATCCGCTTCTTCGTCGATTTGCTGAACGTCCAATCCACGTAGGTGTTTTTGTCCGGCTTGAAATTGGCCGCGCTCTCCAGCCACTTCGATATCATCGAGGGCTTGTTCTCCTCCGAAGCGTCGAAGGGCTTCTGGCAGTCGCGGATGTACTTCTCCATGATGTGGCTCTTGTATTTGTTCTGCGCGAACGGGTTCTCCTGATCGCCCGGCGTCGTCGAGCTGATGTAGTAGCACTGATTCTGGTTGTTGTTGTTGTTAATCGTAGCGGGATTATCGTAGATATCGTTGGTGTAGTTGGAAGCGTCGTCCGCTCCCTCCCATATGCTATCGTCCGAGCATATGCTGAAGTGCTCCACGTTGCCTTGCACTTGGTTGTTGTAGGTTTTTATCAGATCCGACCAGGTCTTCTGGTGGGGTTCCTTGCCGGCGTTCTTCAGCTTCCTGCGCCAGTTCGCGAACCAATTGCACACCTGCGGAAATGCGGTTTATCACTGAAGAGAATCTCGATGTGTAAATACCTACTTGTATGTAAGTTAGACCTGTTTGAACGGCCAGCATTTTCTTCTCGTCCCTGTTGGGATAGGGGTTTTCCCGGCGCCTGACCAGCCAGTCCTTCAGGAATCGCTTGATTTCCGGCGTGAAGAGCCGCTTGGGCGGCCTCTTTTCTTCAACGAAGAACGCTTTCCTGCACAAGAATCGTCAAGAAAACTATTACATAATCATGGTACTCGTACAAGTTTATATTGTTAGTGTTATTATTAGTACGAAAAAAGGGGGGTGAGTAGTAGGTAGTAGATTAAGAGAGGAAAACTCGTGTTTTGTAAATGATTTTGGGATATCCTAAACTCGGCAAAAACATCTAACCTGTTGTGTCTTTTAGTCCTGATGGGACGTTTGGTTTTCTCCTTGTACCCGTCGCCGAATCTTGTGTCCATTTTTTTATCTATTTAAAAATATCCGAAGTGTCACTTTCGTACCTTGAGAAAAGATTGTACGTGTAAAAATAGAATTCATTGGATAACGCTCAAAACAAGATGGTCGAAAACGTATGTTAGGCGATCTTGTATTGGGCTTTTTAGATCGACAGGAGGAAATTTTCGACGAACGATCGCCGCGATGGTCGAACAGGAGGCGAAGGGCGTCCGGTGACGGGAAAACCCGTCGCTGGGAACGCGGAAAATCGGCCGAAAGTTTCGAAAACAACCGCCGATTTTCCCGTGTCCGAGCGACGGTCGCGTCGAAAAACATGACCCGCTGCTGGAGCGAATTTCCTCCGTTCGCCGACCTAATTAGAGCCTCGCGATGATTCCATCGCGGGCCTTACTCACCCCAGCATCACGTTGAATTCGCGAAAATTCGAAAATCCGCCCCGTTGATCTTTGAGACACGTAAACACGATCAACGGTCGAGAAAAACTGCTTACACAATCTGGGGACATCTAAATGCTTGTGTTTTATTTTCAGATCTTTCAGTCTCTCCCGCATAGTGTTTTTGTAATCGCATTCACACGATTTTATTTCAGATGGTTTTAAGTAGGTAGATATGTGGATGTTTCGATGCATCTACAATAATTTTTGTCACAACTTACTTTATATCGGCATTAGAAACTCTTTTAAATTTACAATAAAAATTTATTCGATAATCGGGAGTTTGTTATTAACAAATTGCTTATTACGGTAGGGTAGGGAAATGAAAAGATTTATAGAGTGTTCTTGATTTATTTCTTATGCATAATACAATGTTTTATGTTTAGGAATTTTTTTATAAGTTACAGGGTGTCTCAAAATTCTTTGAACAACGTTATGGAAGTAAAAATGGCTGATAAAATAATAATTTTTGAAGCACCCTGTATATTATCAACTCCCTGAATTATAATTAGATAATTTTGAAGCACCCTTTATATTATTTACTCCATAGAGAAGCTAAATTTGGACTTATTAATTTTTTTAATACAAATGAAAAAAATAAGTATACAGGGTATGTCAATTAATTGAGTGGCAAAACTTCAGGATGTGAATATTTGGATGATTTTAAGAAGAAAAGTTTATATCAATATTAATATATAAACTTCTTAATTTTCGAGCTACAGGTTGTTACAATTTTAGAAAAAAAAAACTTTTCTATCATAATTTTCTTATTACTTCAGATATTTTATGAAATTTTGTACAGACTTTTTAATTATTAACGAGAATTTTTTATATAACTTTATTTATTTTTATCAAATAAGTTATTAATTTATTTTTAAATTATAATAATTTTAGTTTTTGGAAAAATCAGTGGTGTATCATTTTTTCTTCAAACATATTCATTTCAAACCTCGTACGGACGTCACTGGTGAAAATTTAAAAAAATCTTATGCCTCAAAAAAAATCTTAATAATGAAAAAGTGTATATATACAAAATTTCATAAAAATATTTGGACTAATAAGAAAACTATGATAGAAAAGTTATTTTTTTTTTCTAAAATTGTAACACCCTCTGCAGCTCGAAAACTAAGACATTTAGGACATACATTGATATAAACTTTTCTTCATAAAATCACCCAAATATTCACATCCTGAAGTATCGTCATTCAATTAATCAACACCCTATATATTTCACTCAATTTAACCTTTTCTCAAGAGTATTACCCTCCCTTTAAAAAATTTTTTTAACGCTCTTTGTACCTTCGCAAGCTTGCTCACGAGACATCTGCCGAAATAAGGGATGAATTCCTCACCCCATCCATCGCACCGTTCCCAACGCCACGCTATTCACGAATTCCACATCCCCGTCCGGCGTCGAGTCCGCAACAAACAAGCAAACAACCCGAAAACAATCGTCCCGAGCGCAACGAAATCCCATTCAACTGGACGCCGTCGCCATGGCGCAGGCCTGGGGGACGCGCCGCTTCGCTCTCGCGAAACGTGCTCGCCGGCCAGCTGATTCAGATAATGTGTTGCGCTACTACAACCGACATCGGGCCACGTGCGTGATGCAATAACCTACAATATTTCGACGTCCCGGCGCGGAGGGCCCCACGAAGGGCCACGAACGATGAGCGGACGGGCGGCCAACGGCCGGCCGAGGAGCTCCGAGAACGGCGACGTCCGGTCCGAGGGCGGCGACCACAAAACGGTGAAGTTGCAGAGGAAGATCACCCTCATGAACGGGGTGGCTATTATCGTGGGTACGATTGTGGGCAGCGGGATATTTGTATCGCCTGCTGGAGTGTACACCGGCACCAAGTCGGTGGGGTTTTCGATTATTATATGGTGTCTATCCGGTATGTTCTCCATGCTGGGGGCGCTTTGTTACGCAGGTAAATTATTTATTAATTAATATACATACATATTCTTGTAATATTTATAATGAGTGTGTTTTTTTTGCAGAGTTGGGTTGCGCTGTGACGCGTTCAGGGGGTGATTACGCGTATATTTTCGTGGCGTTCGGGCCCCTGGGGGCATTCCTGATGCTGTGGGTGTCTCTTTTGATCATCAGACCCACCACTCAAGCTATCGTGGCCATTACCTTTGCTGAGTATGCAGCGAAACCCTTTTTTCCGGAGTGTCGCCCGCCGGAAAACGCTATCAGATTATTGGCAGCCGTCTGTTTATGTAAGCAATTTTTTGGAATTTTTTTATATATTTTTTTCGAGGGATTGTTGAGGATTTTTGAGCGTATTTTTGAAGATTTTTTTTTTGAAGGGTTTTTAGTTTTACGACAATTTTATATCATTTTATCACGCTCTTATAGGTAGGATTTTTACGTCTATACATTTCGAAAAAAAATTATTTATTTGATGAGAGCTAGACTGGAAAACAACTCGTGCAAAAATATTTATCAAGACTTTAACTATCGGTTAAATAAATAAAAAAAATAACTTAAAAATGCACTTCTATTTAATCAAAAAGATAGCATATAAAAAGCACTTGAATTTAAAGAACTGATAAATCTAAAAATAAAAATAACTCAAAATTATCGGGAAATATCCGGAAGGTTTCAAAAAAATTTGGAAAGAAACTTCCTAAAATCACGATAAAAAACCTAACTTAAAAATCACCAAAAACCTACACTGAAAAAAAGGATCTCTTGATTTAAGGTAATATGCATTTCATTTAACGAAACGATGCTCTTGGTATAGTCCAACCCCCATGGGTTCTTAATGTAACCTAATTATTCTCTTGATCCAATACTCTTAAATCAAGAACCCCACATTTTAATACAAGAAACTCAGATTTCTTCATTTTTGGGAAGAAAACTTGAGCCAAGAGCATATTTACTTACAGTAAGCACCTATTATGTAGTATTAAACCCAGGTATTCTTCAATTAAGTACATTTTTCTTGTATCAAAGGAATCGTTTGCTTCTTGGGACTTCATTAACTCTTGTATTATTGCCAATATTACTTTGGATCAAGAGATTTATTAACTTAAGCCAAGAGCCAATGTTCTTAACAGAGGCTCTCCCTTGTGAGGATTTTTACAGGGTGGGGGTAGCGTAGGTTTTCAAAAAAAGTTCCTATTAGAAGGAAAAAAACAATATATATATTAAACAAAAAAAAAACAGAACACATGACTAACCAACTAAAACTAGCTTAATAGAAAATCACAAAATATGAACTTATAAATCAACTTATATAAAGCCTAAAATACTGCGAAAATCACAAAAATAGGAAAGTACATTTTGGTTTGGAACAATTTTATTTAAAACTGGCTATTAATAATAATACATATAATGAATTTGGGTGTAATAACTCCAATGATTAATACTATTTAAACGAAGTAGAAGTTTCTTTTTAATCAAGTAACAAAATCTCTGTCGTAAGAGAAAAGATTTTTGTCAATTCAATAATGTTTTAATAACAAGGAATCATTTTTTTTCTCAAGTGCAAATCTCTTAACAGAAGAATATAACCTATTTTCATTGACTTGGAATAAGGAAATAACATTAAGAAGAGACGCCATTTTTAAGATGCGAAAAATTAATTTGCAATGAAAACATTTGACTATATTCTAATAAAAATATCTTAAATTGAAAATACCTGAACAAATGCAATCAAAAACCAAACCCTCCATTAAAATGATAATGATAACAGTGTCTAAATACAACAAAATGTCGAAAAATGTTTACTAACCATCTAATAATGAAGACAAATATACTTATTATAGATATTCTACCAGCGGCAACCTTGGAACCCTGATGCATTTATCCTCAGTTCGACTGATTTTCTGTTCCTTATACTTCGAGTCTCTTTGCTGCAACGATTGCAGCGCTCGAAATTGGGTCCTCTGTATAAATCCATTATTCTAAAACAAACAAAAAATGCATATTTACTCTCTACCTAAATACTAGTAGGTACTAATCAATCCTTGTTAATCTTAAATTCCTAGATTAATTTTTAAAATATAAAAACAATTTACATAAAAGTATAGGTATATATACTTACATTTTGCAATTTGTTGAATTTGGTAGATAGTGTAGACACTTAACCCTCAAAAACCAAAACGATGTCGGCCTGTCAAACGAAGAAACACAACGCTCTACAGCTTAACTCAACGACTCAAGCTCAACGCTAGCAAACTATTTTCCACTACCATATACGACCCGATTTCACACGGCGCACTCCGATATTAATTACCAATTTCCAAAATTTTATGATGAGAGCGAGAAATCTCAAATCAAACCCAAAGATTCTTAGTTGTAGTTCCGCGCTTTATATAAGAGTTCCTACTGTTGTTGTAAGAAAAAATCTCTTATTTCAAATAATTTGTAATCAAGAGAATAATTTTCTTAATTTAAGAAACGAAAAAATCGGACATTTTCTTTGTACAAGAACACTTTATTTAATTTAAGACTATTTTACTTATAGGAAATAAATATATTTTAAGAGATTTTTTTTTCTTCATACAAGAGATCGTTTTTTTCAGTGTACCAGAAATAAAAATAAAAAACTCGCTATATAAACTACATCCACTTTTTACAACAATTGAACTATTTTACCTCATTTATCACATTCAGATATTTCGTAAACAATTTAACGACTTGTTTTATTCAAACTAATTATAGACAATAATTAATTTATTTGCGGCTTATTAGATATTGATACCACTGTTTTCAATTTTGAAATCTCTTTAGAGATGCTTGACCCTTTTGTTTTGAACGAATTTATCGAAAATCGTTAAATTTATAATTCCGCTTTATCGAAACTCTCTTTACGCCATCGCACAGCGATAAATTTAATTCGAGAAAGTAATTTTATCCAACAAAAAAACCTGCATAAATATTAATGCATATTGATTATACATAAAAAATTATACAGGGCAGGGCATTGAAAACATCGACTATTTATTTACATATGTGCATTCAATGGTAAATAAACAAACGTTCTGAAATTACACCCATCTATCATAAAAAGTCCGTTAAAATATTTCGAGACAGTTCTTATTTATCGCCCGATAATTTACAACGAACCGCATTGTGTCCTTGACTCGACAGGCATCGAATTTAAATTAGATACACTTACCTACACTTTTATACTCTATCAAGTCTATGTAGTTCAAGTTTAACGTATTGAATTCGCGCCACTTGTAAAAGTTGCTTGAATCACACTATCTCCTATCTAATCAACTCCAAGGATAGATAATCATAATAATATAAACGTGGGCGGGATCGTTAATGAAATAATAATATAATTTACGTAGCTTTATCACTTTGCAACGTAATGCTTTAGAAAAAAATAATCAGAACAACTTCTTTATAGCAACATAGGTTTATTGTTTCGCTTAATAGAAATCTAATAAACTATAAACTCGATTCACCAGCCTCGATTTACTCGGCCGAACTTCCTGAATACCCGTCTAACGACCCTTATACAACTTCCCCTTGTACAATGGAGCTCGTCTGTCTCTCCCATTGTCTTACTCACGTAACTCTTCGGTGCCCTAAGACAGCCCTTTGTTGCAGGCCTTTTGACCGCCGTGAACTGTCTCAGCGTCAGATGGGCCATGAGGATACAGAGCGTATTCACTTACGCCAAGATCTCCGCCTTGATCGCCATCATCTTGGCCGGAGTCTATCACGTGTCCAGCGGTAAGTCTGGTGCACCATATTCACCCGATTCGGGTGGTATAATTGCAGTCGTTTGCAGGCCACACGGAGAACTTCCGCAACTCCTTCGACGGGCACTACGATTTGCCGCAGATCGCTTTGAGTTTCTACTCGGGCCTGTTCGCTTTCGGCGGTTGGAATTTCCTGAATTTCGTCACCGAGGAGCTGCAGGATCCTTACAAGTGAGTTTTTCATATAAAAATTGCTAATCTAATCCGGTTGAGAAAAAGATTTATACGCTATTTATTATCCCGTGGAAGGGAAACGTTGAATTAAACATTCTGGGGCGTTCAACAAGTCTTGTTTATTTCGGCTCTGGCTAGCCCGGAATCTGGATAAGAGGCGGATGGGGTGTGAGGCGTAAACGAAGAGAAGATATAAAAAGGTTTTCGGTGTTTTTGTTCTACTTTTCAATCCCGAATCGCTGAGTATCGGGCGTGTTCTTTAAGTGATTGGGGCATTTATTCGACTCGAAGAGTTGAAAGGAGTTTTATGGAGAATTGGAACGCTTTGAGTGTTATTTTTGTTTTAATTGCGCCCTATTGTATCGATCTTTATACGAGTCTATTAAATTCGTAATAAAAGTAATAGCCATTTGCGAAAATGTTGTAATAAAAAGGGTCATTTTAGCGTTGATTTCAGTTGTAAAAAATGCCATTTTTATATCGTTTTTAGAAATCTACCGAGGGCAATATGGATTGCACTACCGTTGGTAACTGGAATATACGTTTTGGCGAACGTAGCTTATTTTGCCGTGCTTTCCGGAGTGGAGATTGAAAGTTCTGCAGCAGTAGCGCTAGTAAGTTTTATCCCAATACTCTACCAAACAACACATTAAACCGTCCTATTCCTTGACCCCATATCAAGAGTACCACTAAAAAAACCTAATAAAAATGCACATGAATTTACAACACCAAGTGAAAATATTTAAGTTGATAAGATAATGACGCAGGCGTCTACTTACTGTAATTTCCTTAACCTCGATTACCAATTCGAGCCTAGCGGGTGAAATACCAACGCGAGAGGCGTTTATGTAACATTCCTTTTCGATTTAATTTCATTCCAGACATTCGGCATGAGGATGTTCGGTACTCTCACCTGGATAGTACCGGTGTTCGTGTCGCTGTCGACCTTCGGCGGAGTCAACGGCATTTTGTTCACCTCCTCGAGACTGTTCTTGACCGGATCCCAGGAAGGGCATTTGCCGCAGTTGTTCTCGTTCATCCACGTCAAGCGGAACACCCCGATACCTAGTTTAATATTCACAGTAAGCCCCTACGAGGACGCAAAATCCTGCGAAACTTCGTATTAACTGATGTAATTTTTTTAGTGCATTACATCACTGATGATGCTGCTTATAAGCGATGTATTTGTGCTTATAAACTATTATGGGCAGATATTGTGGTTATCTAATGCTGCTTGCATAGCAGGACTGCTGTGGATGAGGCGGACACAACCGGATTTACCGAGACCAATTAGGATACACACCTCTATTCCTTACATATTTCTACTGTGTTGTGCATTTATAGTTATATTTCCCATACCGACTCAGCCCTGGAACACCGTCATCGGCCTCGTGATTACTCTAAGCGGTGATTTGCATTTGCGATTTAGTACAAAAAAACATTTTTTTTGACTTTACACATTCCAGGGATTCCCGTATACTACCTTTGCATCGCTTGGAAAAACAAACCAGAAGGCTACCACAAATTCATAAGAAGTATCACGCGATACGTTCAATACATGTTCGAAGTTACCAATCCGGAGACCACTCAATCGTTATTACAATCTTAGCCCCGTTAATTAATTTATTTATTTATTTTGATAACATGACGCGGTATATGAAGAAAGATTTAATCGCTTCTCTTTTTTTACAGTATTATAAGGCTATGAATATGAATAATAAATGTACTGATAAAGCGGTAGTGTTGCTCTTTTAACTCCTTTACAGACCCTCTAGAAATTTTTAACAAAATTTTTATTCATGAGATAGTAACTGCGTACTCTAAGACAAGAGACCACAAAAAAAGAAGAATTTGGCATTTTGACTTTTGACATTTCAGTCGCTGTCATAACGTTCACGACGTAAACATAACCTAACAATTCGCTGAAAAGACTCAAATATTTCAACTTATATGTTATCGCTTTAATTAGCATCGAAATCTATCCACAATGAGTCGTCAGGGCCCCAGCAAACGTTACGAATCGGATTCGGATTCCGACAGCGTGGACAGCGCGGAGGAGGCCCGACGGCGCGACTTGCAGGAGCGGGACGAGTTCGCCAATCGGCTGAAGAAGCGCGACGAAGACCGCACGCGAAACGTCGTGCAGAACTTCGACAAGAGGACCTACGAGGAGGCGGCGAAGCGGCTGAAGCTCGACCACGCCGGCAGGGACAAGGTGATATCGGAGCTTCGCAAGACCTCGAGATGGAAGTATTTGGAGAAGAGGAAGGACGATAAATTGCAGGAGTTAGAGGCGGATATCGTCGACGATGAGTACTTGTTCGAAGAGGAAATGTAAGTCGTATTAATTAATCGAATACACCGGTATGTTAAGTTTGTTGTTGTAGATTAACGGAGAGGGAGAAGAAGGAACGCCAGCACAAAAAGGAGTTGTTGCAACTGGCCCAGGAGCATGAGAAGGCGCGAGAATTGGAGCGCATCCAGCGCTACCACATGCCGAGAGACTTGGGCAAGGACTCGACGGCCGATTACATCGAAGTGGACGAGCTCGAAAAAGTCCCCCAATCCGAGCAGAAGAAATGGGAGAAGGACCAAATGGCCTCGGCCGTCTTCAAATTCGGCGCCAAAGATGTCAAGAAAACCGACGACTACGAGCTGTTGCTCGAGGATCAAATCGATTTCATTCAAGCTTTACAAATGCCGGGCAGCAGTGAAAAAAAAGTCCCGGAAATATCCGATGTGCAAAAGAAGAAACTCACCATCGAGGAAACGAAGAAGAGCCTGCCGATTTATCCGTTCAAAGACGATTTGATCGCAGCCGTTAAGGAGTACCAAGTGTTGATTATAAAAGGTGAAACCGGTTCGGGGAAGACCACGCAAATACCTCAGTACCTCCACGAGGCCGGTTTCACTGCGGACGGTAAGAAAATCGGTTGCACGCAGCCTCGTAGAGTCGCCGCTATGTCGGTAGCAGCCAGAGTAGCCCAAGAAATGGACGTAAAACTAGGCAACGAGGTCGGTTACGCCATCAGATTCGAAGATTGCACCTCCGAAAGAACCGTCATCAAATACATGACCGATGGTACCTTACACAGGGAATTCCTATCGGAACCGGACTTGCAATCCTACAGCGTGATGATTATAGACGAAGCTCACGAAAGAACACTTCACACCGATATCCTCTTCGGATTGGTGAAAGACATAGCGAGGTTCAGGCCGGATTTGAAGCTACTGATATCGAGCGCCACGTTGGACGTGACCAAGTTTTCGGAGTTCTTCGACGACGCGCCGGTGTACCAAATCCCGGGCCGGAGGTTTCCCGTGGATATTTACTACACGAAAGCCCCCGAAGCCGATTACGTGGACGCCTGCGTCGTTTCGATACTGCAAATTCACGTCACCCAACCGTTGGGCGACATTTTGGTGTTCCTGACGGGTCAGGACGAAATCGAAACCTGCCACGAGCTCCTGCAGGATCGCGTACGACGATTGGGTTCGAAAGTCAAAGAACTGATTATACTCCCGTTGTACGCTAACTTACCGAGCGATATGCAAGCTAAGATATTCGAGCCGACCCCGCCGGGAGCGAGGAAGGTGATTTTAGCTACAAACATCGCGGAGACCTCGCTAACGATCGATAATATTATCTACGTTATCGATCCGGGTTTCGCCAAGCAGAACCACTTCAATTCCAGAACCGGCATGGAGAGCCTGATGGTCGTGCCTATATCTAAAGCTTCGGCTAACCAGCGAGCTGGAAGGGCCGGTAGAGTGGCGGCCGGTAAGTGCTTTAGGCTGTACACGGCCTGGTCCTATAAGCACGAGTTAGAGGAATGTACCGTTCCCGAGATACAGAGGATCAATTTGGGAAACGCTGTGTTGATGTTGAAGGCGTTGGGTATTAACGATTTGGTGCATTTCGATTTTTTGGATCCACCTCCGCACGAGACATTGGTATTGGCTTTGGAACAGTTGTACGCTTTAGGTGCTTTGAATCACCACGGGGAATTGACTAAATTAGGAAGAAGAATGGCTGAATTACCGGTAGATCCGATGATGGCCAAAATGGTATTGGCATCTGAGAAGTGAGTATACTTTTATAAAATCTTTATGAACTTGTTAAATAATCGTTTATTTTAGATACAAGTGTTCCGAGGAAATCGTCACTATAGGCGCAATGTTGTCGGTGAACGGGGCCATATTTTACAGGCCGAAAGATAAGATTATCCATGCAGATACTGCCAGGAAGAATTTCTATCACATGGCTGGCGATCACTTGAGTCTTCTGAACGTTTATAATCAATGGAGAGACTCCGATTATTCGTTGCAATGGTGTTACGAAAATTTCATTCAACACAGGTGAGCAATAATCTACACTAGATAATTTAGTACTATAACAACATATTTTTGTAGATCGATGAAACGAGCCAGAGACGTCAGAGAACAGTTAGTCAATTTAATGCAGAGAGTAGAAATCGAAATGGTGTCAGGAATCGATGAAACGGACAACATTCGCAAGGCTATTACTTCCGGATATTTCTATCACATAGCCAGGTTTTCGAAAGGAGGCAGTTACAAAACGGTGAAGCACAATCAAAGTGTTACTATCCACCCGAACAGTGCTTTGTTCGAAACGTTGCCACGGTGGGTGTTGTACCACGAATTAGTGTTCACGACGAAAGAGTTTATGAGGCAAGTGATCGAAATCGAGAGTAAGTGGCTGTTGGAGGTGGCGCCTCATTACTACAAGGCCAAGGAATTGGAAGATTCTACCAATAAAAAAATGCCCAAAACCGTCGGGAGAAGTAAAATGACTGATTAAATTTTAATGTGATATTTAGATTAAGGTAATAGTTGTGGAAAATGTGTGCTTTATTAATTAAAATCATAATTTTATTAATTCATTTACAATTATTCATCTGCAATTAAATCTTCGGGTGTACCCCAAACTTTAACTGTACCTACAGAGGCAGTCATAACGAGATCTTTTCTAGGATGGACGCTTAACGAATTCAAAACTTTGTTGGGAGTGTGTATGAATTTATTGACCACTTCGGCGCTAACTAAATCCCAACACCACATTTCTCCAGTAATCGAGCCGGATAGAACGAAGTTATCGTTAGTGATGATGGCACTTTCCACGTTCATGTCGTGAGTTTTGTGTCCCAAATACTCGCCCAGCATTTCTCCGGTGGTCTTATCGAACAATCTTACCGTATTGTCAGCGGAGCCGGCTAAAATGCACTGCCCGTCGTGCGAGAAACACAAGGAAATCACTGGGGCTAAAATAACAGTTTAATGTACATGATTTTGTATTATAATCTCAGTGAATACATACCTCCTACGAAATCTGAATCGCATTTCCCGTTCCTCAAATCGTATCTTCTAAACGAACAATCCACGGACCCGGCAAGAATTTCGTGGTCGGTAATTTGCAACGAGGTAACGCAATCTTTGGCATCTTTCAAAGTTTGTACGGGGTCTTGAGATCTAGATTTGACATCCCAGCACATCACGGTGTTATCCAAACTTCCTAGAGAAGCCCCAATGTAATACAAATATTATTCGATTCAAATTGGTTATTACCCGAAATGACTATCGTTGATTCTTCGTTGTATTTCACGCAGGTTACGCTTGCGGCATGTCCTCTTAACCTCCGAGTGGGCTGTCCGGTGGAGACATCCCATACGATAATCGATTTGTCCGAAGAACTCGATACTATTTGACTGCTATCACATGATCCACAAGCGTCCAATACCTCATTCCCGTGACCTCCGTAAGTTTTAAGTAAAAGGCTCTTATAAGGATTCCACAGCTTTATTTTCTTGTCCGAACCGCAGGTTAAGCAGTAGGAACCGTCCACTAAATAAGTAAATATGATAAGTTTTTTAGGTTGATAATAAAGTAATTCGTTTACCATTAAATCTAACTGCTCTGACGGCTCCTTGTTTGCAGTCGATAGTGTTTAAACATTCCAAATCCATTAAATATTCGATTTTATATCGTTTGTTGTATACAAGTATACATAACCTCAATTTCTTGTTTTGAAGTTTAGAGTGGCTAAAGTGACAGTAACGGTACAATAACTGTTTTGTCAGTGATTTTATGGCGATTTAATTCAAAATATATAATTTATTTTAATTAATACGAATAGAAGTATCGATTAGTAATAAATTCTTGCAATTTGAGTGATTGTAAAACAATCATAATAAAAATATAAAATTCACGATTAACTCAATAGAGTCACAATCTAAATGACAATAATGACAGCTTCCAAAGGACAGGATCGGAGTTACGTAGTGAAGGAAATCATTCTTTGTATAGAAATCTCGTTAAACCTGGCAAGTCCTATTCTGTCCTGCGTCATACAGTACCGTTCGATAGAACTGCCAGGCGAAACGCGCCTTTAGTAGCACCTTGCATACAGCCAGGCCATGTCAGCAGCTTGCTTGCATGACTAGAAGCATAATCAACAAGCCCGTCCACAATCGACCAGTGGAAGAATCTGGTCTTCGCCATTTCCTTAATGTTCTATTCGTGAATTTGTGCACTCTTTTCGTCGTGTTTACGTTCGACTTTTGGCTTTTAACCATGGACACTATGGACATCAAAGTGGACACCGTCAATCTGTTCGACATCAACAAAATATGCAGGGCGTGCTTGACCGATAAGGGCGAAATGAGGAGCGTTTTCATGCAGGACGATACTTCAGGCCAACCGATAATTATCGCTGAAATGCTTATGGAGTTCACTTCTGTGGAAGTACGTTGAGATTTTTATTTCAAATTATTATTTTTCTCCCGTTACACCAATCAAAATGCTGTAAAAATTAATGTTGTTATGACAACGAAAAGTTGATAAACAACGCGTTTATAACAAGATTTCTTGATTAATTTAGTAAACTTCACGAAACACGTTTGTTTTAGATTAAAAACGGAGACGGCCTACCGAGTTTAATATGCCTACAATGCATGCACGAAATAAACCGCTGCAACTCCTTCAAGCAGCTGTTCGAACAGAGCGACGTCAACCTACGAACGTATCTGGGCAAGCCGATCAATCAGAACCAGAGGCCGTTCAAGGAAGAGGCCCCGCCGCAGAGCGACTTCTCCAGCTTCTTCCTGGACAACTTCGGCATGGATTCCTCGTCGAGCGACAGCGACGACGACGACTACAAAGACGAGTTCCAACTGTTGCAAACCTCCTTACCCGACAACTCCAACGACGAGAAAATCATCGCTCAGAAACAGCTCATTAAAGCGGGCAGGTTTCACAAAACCCGGATATCGAAAAAGAGACTGCTAGCCAAAGCGGGGAAGACTTCTGGTATGTTCTATGAGCGTCTACGAGTGTCTTGTGATAATATATTATCGTAGCTTTAGCAGCGAAACGGACGAAGAGAAACACCAACCAATGCAACGTGTGCAAGAAGCAATTCATCAATCTGAAATCGTTCCGCAAGCACCTTCGCACGCACATCGAAGACCGCCCGTTCAAATGCAAAGTGTGCAACCGCGGCTTCACCGAGGAGAATTACCTGAACAACCACATGCGCACCCACGTGCCCGACGACCAGAAGCCGCACGAGTGCGAGGTGTGCAAGAAGCGCTTCATACACAACACGCTGCTCACCAAGCACATGTTGAAGCACAGCGGCGAGAAGCCGTTCGTCTGCAAGATATGCAACAAGGGCTGCTACGCCGAGAACAGCCTGCTGAAGCACATGAAGATCCACGAGAAGAAGGAGGGCGATCCCGCTTTGTTGAAGCATATTTGCGATTATTGTCGCACGGAGTTTCCCGATAGTGCCAGTTTAAGTGTGCATATCAAACAGCATACCGGTGATAGGCCTTTTGTGTGTAACATATGCGGTAAATGCTTCCCACAGAGGTTTAATTTGGAGCTACACTGTAGAACGCATACGGGTAGGTTTTATTTAATTACGAATCGTTTGGTTTAACCGGTTGCTGTTTTAGGTGAAAGGCCGTTTCAGTGCGAAGTTTGCAAAAACGGATACGTCTCTAAAGCTAGTTTAAAAATACACATGAGAACCCACACGAACGAACGACCATTCGTCTGCGATTTCTGCGGTAAAGCCTTCAGGCAATCAGGAGATTTGACGAGCCACAAACGGTTGCACGGCACCGAAAAGCCCATCGAATGTTCCGTTTGTCAAAAAAGGTACCTCTATCCAAAGATGATATACTCTATAGATGTCTCACGCTAATGCTTTAGGTTAAAATAAAAATGTAATACCGATTCGCATGGACAGAGGAGGCTTAGTCGGTATGGTCGGTAATGAAGGGATCTTGTTCACAATGAAGTTGACGTTTGACGTTGCCATTATTTATATTTAAATTCAAATTATAATTTGGTTTTTAATCTAAAATTATTTATGAATAAAACAATTTAACAGTACCATTCACAACACAAACAGAACTCAAAATTAATCAGAATCACACTTTACAGTCAACTTTTCAGTTCAAACGCCAACACACGATTACTCTAAAAAGTCAAAAATCTCTACAAACATTCAACGAAACACAAATTCCCTATAAAATGTCTGGTGTCCTCTAGGCGTGCGAATCCGAAATACAAAATGATTTGACCTCGGGTCATCTGCGTGAAACGTCTATAGTCTATAGAGTCATGATACAAATATACAAGATATGTTTGAAAGCGTTCACAATTCTAGAAAAAATAAGAATTTGACATATATGTCAAAGAATAAGGTTATGTTTGTTACTTTTCCGAAGATTCTCACCTGTGACGTCACGCCCACATGCGCAATATCATATCTTCTCTTATTGTATCATGCTATAGAGTAAGTAATCTGTGAATAATTAACGAGTTAATTTCTCCAGATTCACCACGGTGATGAAGCTGAAGTACCACATGCGCAACCACACCGGCGAGCGCCCCTACGTGTGCACCGTCTGCGGGCGCGGCTTCACCGTCAACACCATCCTCCTGCGGCACATGCGCGTCCACTCGGGCGAGCGCCCCTACGTGTGCGTCACCTGCGGCAAGGCCTTCAGCCAGTCGAGCACGCTCAACACCCACATGAAGATCCACAACCCGTCGAACTCGAGCAACCACGAGCGGGAGCAGAAGTTCCAGGCGGCCGACGAGCAGAAGTACCAGTCGCAGGACCAGGGCAGGCTGATGCAACAGCAACAGCAGCAGCACATGCAGCAGGAGCCGGTGCAGAGGATGCTGCAGGCGCAGCAATTGAGCGACGGTACTAGGATTCTGGCGGACGCTTCGCAGTTGCTGGCCGATCCGAGGTTGCTGGCCAACGAAGGGGCTAGGTTGTTGGTAAATGTGACCGAGCCGCCGCCGCTTAGGCTTCTGGTGAACGATAACGCGAGGTTGATTACGAACGACAATCGTTTGTTGTCGCAGGATAACAGGCTGATCGCTAATGTTAACGTGAATGTTAACGATAACAGGTTGTTGGGGGACAATGCGAGGCATTTGTCGGTTTTGGACGGTTCGAGGATTCTGACGACTGATAAATATTTGGCGAGTTACGATCCGTATCAAAGGGGGCAGTTGTAAAATCTCGCGTGGTGTTTGATCTACTAATTGTTTAGTGGATTAGGCAGGGAATGTAATGATTTACATGTTTGATAATATTTAGTTTAGTGCCAAAAGTATGGACATTTTTGTACGATTGAAAAAATGCGGAATATCGAAGTAATGTTTAATACAAACGTTAGGTATCATATTATCTTTTATGAACATTTAATTGTTTCTTCTAAAAGTACAAAAAAGTTACTCTTAGAAATTAGTTAATTTTTTTATCTATATTATTTTCGTATGTTAGTAGTTAACTGTAATTTCTTCCTTTTGATTCCTTAGTATTGTAGGAATTATGACTGAATTTTCTAATTATTTTATAATTATAATTAATTTTTTTATAAATAATACATTATTTTATTACCATATTAATTTTATGAAACAAACAATTCTTACATAATTCGTAAATTGAACAGGAAAATTTGAATTTTAGGCCAGATTACTATTTATATACTAAATTATCTTTCTCATCAAACACTTGTAACATAGAAATGCAAGCGAGTGGACTAAAATTTATTAAAATAAAACGCAAAAATCACGATGTGAATAAATCGAATAGTTTATTTGCTATTAAAAAAAATACATTAAACTAGAATGTTAAATCTACATACAAAATATACAATATCCCAATAACGTCATTGATTGGTAAATATAATAACAAAATTATTTAACAATAAAATTTTTGTTTACATAATTAATAATCCGTTTAACAAATCAGTAAACAGAAAACGTTTTAAATCGATAAACCAGCTATTTTTTATTGCCAATTGAATTTTTAATTTCCAATTACCAGTTACGTTTAAAAAAAAATTAGCAACTTCAGAAGAGGCCAAATATTTTGTAAATTTTTTAATATATTCACATAATCCGGCCAAATTAAAATTCCTTCAAATAACCGATTGCCTAAGCAACGTTTTTTTCTCTTCAACTTCTCGAATTATAAATTCGAAATTCATACAGAGAGGTAACACAAATTGAAGTGTGAGCAGAAGCAAACGTACGCAATTGATTTAAGAATTTAAATTGAGTCGATTCCTGAGTTATGTTATCAAATTGACTACATGTTATACGTATTACGAATTGCACCGAGTGTATAGCACAAACAACATCGTGTACTAGTTAATAATATGCGTGTACCATTAAATTAAAATGTCCGATACTAAAGATCTAAACAAAAACAACGAATAACTTATTATCTATCACAGTTAAAGTAGAGACTTTATAACATTCAATATTACAGCACCACGGTTAGTAAAAAAAAGGGTCTTGTTTTTTGAATAATATCAACGGTGCCTAACGAAACCAAACACCAAAATCGCTTCAGCTATTTATACCAGAATGATATTTCCCACGGAACTCGCCAATTCCTCCTCCTCGTAGCCGCTTTCGTCGCTGCAAGCGCTGTCGTTCTCGTCGTCGGAGCCCGCGCTCTCGAGCGAGTGCCTCGAGCCGGGCTCGCTGAGCGCCCGCTTCTTGAACACCTTCAGCGAGCTGAAATCGGCCTGGTGGCTCTCGCCCACCGGTATCAGCGACACCTCGTCGTGGTCCGGCAGCTGCTTCTTGCCGTTGATGCCGCAGTACTTGAGTATGTCGGGATTGGAGAGCCTCTCGAAGCTGCGCACTCGCGACAGCACCGCCCCGCCGACCTTAAAGTCTAGTTCAGTCTTCTTTTCCTCCTCGATGTTGTCCAGCTCGCCGACGGCGGGAGATTGGGTCGGGTCGGCGTGCTCGTTATCCGAGGTGACCGTGCTGGCCGATTCGCAGCCGCTGGATAACGAGCCTTCGTCGCATTCTAATGGTATCAGGTCGGGTTTCTGGCTGAGAGCCGTGTACCAAGCCTTCTCGCAGGATTCCAATAAGTCGTTTTTGAAGGAGTTTTCCACTAGTTCGTTCAATAGAGTTTCGCTTTTTTCGTCTAGTATATGATCGTCGTCTTCTTCTTTCAGAGGCTCCTCGCGTAACGAAGACGACTTAGCAGGTACGTTACTTTTGAATTTATTCACCAAGTTCAGTTTCCTTCTGTCTAACAACGCCCCGGTGCTATCACAATGCTTCAAGAGTTTCCGAATGCTCTCTTTAGACTCCCGCTCGCCCTCCTCCTCCGGCTCCTCCAGGATCTCCTCGATGCTCATCAGCTTCGGCGCCGATTTGGACCGCTCGAGCGGCGGCCGGTAGTTGTGCGAGCCGGTGCTCAGCATGATCTTCCGCCGCGGCAACGACGGGTTCTCGTACACCGAATTGACCAGCGACAGGCGGGCGTTCTGCTTGCTGAGCTTCTCGCGCTTGAACTCGAGCAGCGCCAGCGCCAGGCTCTGCTTCAGCTCGTCCTCCAGCTGCTTGGCGACGGTCGACGAGGGACAGAGGACGGCGTGGCAGCGCAGCTCGTGCCGCAGCCGCTTGCCCTCGTGCCGGTACACCCAGCAGAAGAGGCGCGGGAACTGCGAGGGCGCCGCGCACGCCGTCAGCCTGTTGGCCCAGTACTCGGTGAGGCCGTGGTCCTTGGTGGTGGCGCGCAGTCCGCCCCCGCTCACCGTCAGCTGCATGCGCACGTCCGGCCTCGACGATTGCGTGTAGTTGCGCCAGAGGGTCGTCAGCGGTTTTTCGAAGCAACCTTCGCCTGCAACAACGCGAAATATTTATTAAATTTCTCTATTAGTAGGTTGATAACTAGGAGGTGTGAGGTCGAAAATCTGGAGTAGAGTTATCGGAACGATATTTGAAAAATAACGCTTATTTTGTAACAGTCGTTACTGCACCTCTATACTAAAAAAATGACTCCCACCTCTATTAAAGTTCTGTGGTTCGAAATGTCATTAATGTCAATTTTGACAGTTTTGCGAAAAAATGTAATAATTTGGTAGTACAATAAACAATTACCAAGGAAAGATCATCGTTATTTTTGTAAGTATTGTTTTGCATTACTTTAGTATTTTGTCATGCGATGGTAGGTAGAATGTAGGAAACAATACGAGAGCTTAATGCTCGTACGTTCCGGTTGTAATTGGGTCTGGCAAAAGTCGTGACGGTATGTGTTTTAATTAACGTGGCTCGGCATGAATAACAATTATTGTTATTAATGCGCTAGTTATGATCTCTGGAGAATAAAAATAAAATCGCGACTCAGGCGGAGCGTGAAGCGGAAGCAACGGCGGATCGTTCGCGGCTCTTCGGCCGCGTTTCGACGGGTTTAACGAATTCCTCGGGAGGATTATGTTGCAGACGATCGGTGCATTCGGTCCGGTCGCGGGCTGTGAACTGAATTCTGAATTCCCGTGGACGGAAGTCGTTAGAGCGCTTTGTTTCAGGCCGTTTCCAGGTTGCAGCTGGCTTCGCCGCACTCCGCTTAGCGATATGATTGATTTAATAGATAAACTTTCATTCCATCGCGAAAGATAGTCGTTAAATGCCGGAGGGAAAAAAAGTAAATTATGTTATCCTCTCGAGAATGCAAAAATGCTCTCGCGCTCATTAAAAACCGCACCTTTTACGGTTTCACGTCGCATTGAGAATTTACGATTTTTCGTCGGGTTTTCTCGTTTATTAACGATGTTTTAAGGAAATTAAATAAATCATTACAAACAATAAAAGTTATTCGATTCTACTTTCAATTCGACTAGGTTTTTTTATTATGGCTAAATAGTCACGTAAAGCCGAGAGGTGCGTGTAACACATTAAATCATCAATTACAATGGAAATTAATAACAAATTTCTCTAAATTAAAATCCCAAATAAACGCGTATAATTCGCAATATCGTTAATTACACGTAATTGCAATCGTAATTGATAATTCACTTTAACACTAATCGAATCAACGTAATTACATCGGCAAATTCCCGTTTTCAATGCGAAAGAATCGCGATCGATACAAATAATTGCCCCGCTCGCCCCACGTCCTTTCCATTCGTCATTAAATTTCCTAGTTCCTTCTCATTGCGATCGCATTATCGTAATCTTTAATTTCATGCTTCATTACGCCATTCTTGCAGTACCTTCGATGTTTGCATCCCAGGTGATACGGTAACGCTGGAATTTATTGTTGCCTAGAATTTTGCACTTCTTGATGAACAATAAAGTATCGAGAGACTGTAATTTTTGGATATTTTGGATACACAATGAATGGAAATATAGGTACTGAAATATTGCATTAGTTTTCTGGATATAAATTGCTTTAGAAAGGGGACTTATCTTGGATGTTATGGGGGGCTGGTCAGGTGTAAAAAATGCAAATGACCTGTATATGCAGGTAGAATTTAGAAAGTGCTGCGACAATATCGAGCGTAAATTCACGCACGAATCGAAATTCTCGATAAGAAGCGACTCGATTAAAATTGTCGGCAGGAATATTTCGCGTTCGACCGATTTCACTTGCGTACATTAGCCGGTAAAAATCGATCGGTTAATAATTAAAAGAAAGTCCGAACTTCAACGCGAATTGTTCTATTGTGTTTACGGTGTTGTAAAAAAATACGAGAAAGTTTTCGAATGTTTGGGTTTTTACAAAATTCGTTGTTGTGTATTTGAAGAGAATATACGCGAAAGGTTTTAGGTGAAATCGATTCGAAAAATCGCACTAAACGAATGATTACAAGCAATTAGATGTAATGATTTTTAATTATATTGTAAACAATACTGTATTGCGTAGGTACGTATGGTTTTTCGTTGTTCGATCGTTTAATCGGAAATTTATTCATCGGAAAAACATTTTAATGTGCACAAGTAATCGGTATTAAGAAACCATTAGAGAACACAAGCGTATTGCATAATTCGGGTTCATTGTTCTATCGAAATTAAAAGTAAATAAATAAAAAATATACAATTATGCATTTCGAAACGATTAATATCGCGCTAACGACGTTCAATTGACATGGAAAACGACATTACGCAGCGGTCATTACAATTCAAAAACACAAATCGTTTATTTTGTAACATTTTTTCGTTGTTTTTCCATTTTTTTATTACCAGACATCGGTAATTGCCGATATGTTACTTTTGTAATTACAAAACTCATGTAAAAAATTACCGCCTGGTGTTTTCAATTATTTTATTTTTTCAAACAGGTTATCAAAAAAATATACAATTTTGACAACAAACTATTTTATGAAAATTTAAAACAGCTGGTTCATTAATTGGGCAATAATTTTCAAATTGATTACCTAGGCATTTTAAAAATTATTCGACATAAAAATAATAACAGTAATAATTCTCTATTTATGCAAAAAACCAATAGAAAACGAAAATTATTACGCCATAAAATGCAAAATACTTACGTTGGACGATTTATTGCAATCAAAGTGCAAGCGAAATAAAAAATAAATATTTTTTTATGACAGCGAAACATTTTCGTAACTAGTTTTAATTGGCAATTAAAAATGCTTGTTCGCTAAAAATTCGCAAATACATTGTAAAAATCTAAAATCCTCGATGTATAGGTACAAAGCGCTAAAGCAACTCTGAATCTCCTCTGTATCTACTCCGAAGTGGGACTTTAAGGTGCGTTCTATGATGCATAAACAAAAACTGTCAAAGTTGACATTAATGACATTTCGTGTGACATAAGTTTAATAGAGGTGGGAATCATCTTTTTGGTATACCGGAGCTGTATCTTCTCTACAATTCATTAAAAATTCGCGTTCTTACATTGTAAACTATAAAATCCTCGTTTAGGTACATTTCAACGGACCTTTCAACGGACTTCATTCATACAAAGCGATAAAACTCGCCGGATTAACGCTTAAACGTTTCGAATCGCTGATTAAAACTGTACAATCGGACCGTTAGATGTATAAAATTAATAATTATCGACTTAGCGGACACACATAGCAGTTTCAACAATGGGTATACTTGCATTCGAAACGTACACCTATCATAAACTTATGCTAAATATTCACTGAACTAGGTCAATAACTACTTTTGCCCGGAGAAATCACAACCCGCAAACTTTGCATGATGTTATTATGGTCAGTTAAAATAAAATGGCGCTTTTCTTACTATATCTACAGAGCAATTTTTTTTGTTTAATTTCTTGAAGGTCTTGCAAATTTCCCACGAGAGGGTGAATGAAATAAAACCATTACGTTTAGCATTTGGTACGCGTTTATTAACGAGCCTGTCAATTGCGGGTAATTGTCCGTTCCATTAATAACGGAATTTATTATTTCGCTAGTAGATAATACACCCATTGAAAAATATTATGTAACAATTCACAAAACAATTTATAGGCGTACATTTGCATTTTGCAACAACAACAACAACCTGCCCGACCTTGCACTTATTTAAGAACGAAACTCTTACTTTTTTCTTCCATCTTTTTGCTATCGTTCGATTCGCAGATCGCTCGCCTAGATAAATCGGCGCTGCTCTAGAACCATTTTCGTCCGGCCGTTTCGCGGGATTCCCGCGGAAAAAAATCGCTTTAAAATTTAATTAACGAGCTTCCAGCGCTTTATCGGAATGTCAATTATCGCTGCCTTGACGGCCGCCGGCGCTAAACCGCGCCTCTTTTGGTAGATTCGCTTAAAAAAGTTTGGTTTACGAGGCTTCCCAGGAATTTTGCAGATTCTCTAAAAGTCTATAGCGCGTATGACAGGTTCTATATTTATACCAATATCTCGATTATCCAATGAAATTCTCGACAACAGATAAATGTAAGTACTCTTGATAAATCTTGTAAGTCATTTCGATTTTAAAAGGAATTAACATATGCTCTGGTTTGCTCTGAATAAACTCTGCGAATCTATTCTGAATCTAATCTAAAGCGATTCTTTGAGTCTAATTGGGGCTTTAAGATGCGTCCGATGATACATAAACAAAACTACCAAAATTGACACTAATGACAATTCGTATGACAAATTTAATAGAGGTGGGAGTCAATTTTTTGGTATAGAGGTGCAGGTACAAAATAAGCGTTATTTTTCGAATCAAGTTCCTCTGCTCGACTACTGATAATCATTTATGTTTGAAATTTCCTTGCGTTTGTTTACAAGTTTACACTCCTCCGGACTTTTCGAAATAATAAAGCAATTAAAGCGTTATTTTTTTTCGCAAATCGCGAAGGTTTCGACAACAATATTGTCGTGCGCTTTTTTTTTCGAAAACACATTACCGACTAACAAGCAACGTGCGCTCGTATCTACTAGGAAGCCGTCGTCCTGTTTGTCTCAGAAATAACATAAAAAATGAATTTCCGATCACCTTGGTGGTCGCGATGGCTCGACGAATCGGAAAAAAATATGTCGAACTTAGAAAAATATCCAACGTTGGCGATAATTATTTATTAATTAGACGATGCGGACGTGTCGAACAAGTTTCATTAGACGAGCGGAGTCCTTAAGGCGAAATCCATTTCGTATATAAATTAGTCAAGAGGACTAATGAAGAAAACAATTTGTATCGGAGACGAGCCGATTTTCAACAACAAAATTAATCGAGTTCGTCGATTTTTCTGCGGGTGGGTTTGCGATAAATCGCCGGTTATCGGCCGGTTATCGGCCCGTTAGGCCGTTCGATTTTATGGCGGAGTTATCTAACAGTTTGTTCGCATCTGAAAAATTCCCGAACGCGCGTTTACGGCTCTAAATTATCGACGCCTTTCTATTTACGGTGTAATTTTCGCAATAAACTAGATCTGGTGGGCATCAGCAAAGGCGATAATTAAAGGTGATGCGGATCGTTTATGGTTCGTTCGAAAGGATTCTGCGGGAAATGTTGAATTGGTACGGCGAACAAAGGTCGTTAGGAATGTGAAATTAATCGGTTTTTTTTTTGTTGTTTGATGATAAAATTCAAGGTTTGCAAAAAAGGCTGGCTTTTTTTGTAGATATAAAAATTAGTTTCGAGTTTAATTAAAATTTGTGTTTTTTTATTGAATCGATTGGACTGGACTAGGTTACTTTAGTTTCTTCGATTACGTAAAGAGTTTATTCACACAACGACCTTCTGATATAAGTACGATACAATTCTAAACCCGTAGAAAAGAAAGTACAAAACTAATAAATAACTTCCTTTTATTATTTATTTCCTATCCAGTTTGTCATTACACTCGTTTTATTTCACACTCTCCAAGCTTTCCAAAAACTATTCACCGCATATTCAAAACGAAAGTCGCTTTAATTACCTAATTATCGAGCATACAAAACAATTAATCGACCATTACGTTATTTTAACGTACGCAAATATCATTTCAAGTACGTCAAAATAACGTTAACGTACTCCATTCTTGGTTATTCTAAACTCGCTCGGTGGCCAGTCCGGATAAACTCTCTCTATAATCTTTCACTCCATATGGTAAAATAATGGTAAACCGTGCACGCACCGAAACACGTAACGCAATAAAATAAATCCGGAGGTAATGAATAAATAATGAAGAATGTAGGCAGTCGGTTTCGATCGTCCTTCGATTGTACTTCTCGCCGCGATCCATCAATCGTGAATTTCAAAACAACCAGATAACCATCTCCTCGGGGTTTCGTTCGTATATAGCGTACAGGACGTTCCGATTCTCGGTGTTGTAATTAAAAGAGGGCGGAATTCCGAACAGGGACGGATCACGGTGAAAATGCCATTTTCACTTTAAGATTTGACCCAAAATCGAGTTGTTTTCCGAGGGGTTGAATTTCGTTGGGTCATCCTGTATATTCCTAATTGTTTCGGAAATATGCAGCGAGGTCGTGGAATTTCGAATTTCGACCGTGACATCCGAATTTCCGATAATTACCGGCATTTTCGACGAAATGCACCGCACAATTGTACGCTTTACATCGCGAAATTATACCTAATTAACTATTGTGCAAAACCGTAAAAAAACAGCCTCGGGCTCGCGATTTTACACCTACTCTTCTTCTATTTATGTAACATCTTCGCTTTCCTCTAATGTATTTTTTGCGGCGTCGAGTTTACTTTTTAAAAACCACTTTCGTTACGCTAACGCCGGATCTATTTTCGGACGATATTTGCACGAAAAATTACATAAAAATTTCGATTGCGCAATACACCAACAATGTTAGGTGTATATTGATTGTAATTGGATTAATTACAGAATCTTCCATGAAATTATTTTTAACTGGGAACATGGAAAAATACAACTGGGGCTAGGAGAACCTATACGAACTGAAAATGAGTCTTTAGGCCAAACCTTTATTTGTTCAAGAGCCAAACCGAGCACGGTGAACTTGGAAATTCTCCCTACATTTTACGAACGGATATAAATCGGGGCTAAAGGGATAAAAGAATTTAATCCTATAGGTAAATTGGTAAGGTAAAATAAGCAGAAATAAGTCTTTTGATGACTCTACTCTACCTCTACCAATAGTCTACTCTCGGCGCATTCTGCATATAGGCACGGTAAATTAGAGATTACGGAGCGATGATCTAGAAAAAGCAGACGATAAATAAATGCATAATATCGAGCGAAGAATCTAGAAGCAAATGACAATTAGTCACCGGCCGTAATTAGTTTGAACTTGTAAGGAAACGGTCAAGTGGCGAATTAAATTCTCGCTAATAAAAGGAAGGTTCGCGCGTAGGTGAGCCGGAGTAGAGCTAAATAACGGGTTTCGAATATTTCGTTCCCGATTTGATGCATTAATAGGAAATCGGAAAAATAACGCGGCGTTCAATCCGAGTAAATATTTTGTTGTAGATAACTCTCGAATGAGCATCATAATTTTTAGCGATAAACGTTTTGTTTTACTCGACGAAAAAAAAATATGAATTATGACATATCGAAATTACTTATCTCCTTATCTCGACGATTATTGTTATCTGGAGAATAATTGGAAAACAAAAGTAAATTTGATAATCTCTCCTTTTTTTTACAGAAATCTCGTAAAATTACTTTTTATCGCGTCTATTATAGTTGTAGATATCTATTTATTGAAGATTACCGGCTGAATTACTAATTCATCTGAAAACACGTCTGGTTTATTCAAGATTTTTTTTAAGAGTTAAATACATACATTCCAGTAAGCACGACTTATGGTATTTTATCATTCTTCATAAACGTGTTTTTTCGCAACTAATTTTTTTATTAACAGATACCCATTTTAATCTCGCAATCAGTAAATTAATTATTCATCCAATAAAAAAATAAACAGCAATAAAAGTAAAAAAATCTTGACACACAATGTAAAATAGACTATTACTTAGTTATAGGGTCAATTTTCTACCCAAGAGTCAATTATCTGTCAATAAAAATCCATTATTTGCCCAAATGAGCCAATTATCTACCCAAGAGTCAATTATATGCCAATAAAAATTTATATGTACCCAATTAATTACCCAAATGAGCCAATTACCTACCCAAGAGTCAATTATATGTCTATGAAAATTAAGTATTTGCCCAAGTGAGTCAATTATATGTCTAAAAAAATTCAATTATTTACACAAATGATTCAATTATCTGTCCAAGAGAATCATCTACCCATGTGAGTCAATAGTCAAGTGAGTTAAGACTCAATTATCTACCTAATAGAGTCAATTATTGAACTATTAGAGTCAATTTTGTACCACAATAGAGTCAATTATTTACCAAATTTAGCACCTCTTAAACAAGTTATATACTTCAACGCTCCAAATACACAAAAATAATCGACTTACCCTTGGCCCATCCGGTGACGACGTTGCCCAAATAAGCCACCTTAAACGTGGGATCCGGCTTGGTGATGGTAGCGCATCCGTAGCGCTTCAATCGCAGCCGGTTCAAGAAGATCTTGAACGCCTTGCGGCCCCTGTCCTTCTGCAGCTCCTTCTTGGGCATCTCGCTGTTGAGCGTCTCGATGCTGGGCACGGCGCCCTTGGCGTCGGCTGGCGCCCGAGCGGGTAGCAGGGCGGCGTCGGGCACGTCGACGTCGTCATCGGCGTCGCGGCGCTCTTCGGGGGGCTCCTTGGAGGCGGCCAGCTGGAGCTGGTAGGCGTGCAGGGCGTGATTGATGTCGTTCTGCATCAGCATGCTGATGGTGAACGGGTCAGCACTTCCGGTAATTAGAGTTCGGTTTAATTGCAACTCGGTTATGGCGGGAAGGTGATGTAATTGCATTCACATCGCGATCGTATGATGCTCGGATTGCCTCTTTCTTTGTTGTTTGTTGTTGTTGTTGTTGAGTGAGGTTAGTTAGGTTGATTGCAGGCGATCTGGAAAAAAATATGGAAATTTGTGGTGAAAAATATGGTAATTAATGCTTCAATTAAAAAAATTGAATTTTGCATATTTTTAATTGTTTCAAATTGAAGTACCTAACGACAGCTAATATCATCAAGGCTAGTACTAAATTAGTGATTTAATCTATTACAAGTACCTAACACCTTCAAATCGTAATAACTCTACAAAATACATCGGAAATATGATGTAATATTTTACAATTAAATAATTATATCTACAACACATTTTTTTTGTTACTTTTGTCACTTGTCAATCATAGACAACATTCAATTGTTATTCCAAAGCCACCTGTTGCAATGTCGCACATCGGATTTGTCGAATTGCAAATTCGAAAGCGATTCATTAGAATGCGACAATTGTCGCACGACGCGATTTAACGTTTCCGCGACCTTTTCCACGATTTTTCGCGCGGAACGGAAGAGCAGCCGTTTCGAGGCCGCTGCAAAAAAAAACAATTCAACCTTTGAAGCGCGAATTAATTTCGAATCGATCGCGTTGTTATTTTTTTTATTTTTATTGTCCCACCGTCGGTGCTAATATAAATGGCTAATTGTTTGATGTCTAAATAACGCTCGGATAATGTTTCCAGGGATAGCACTCTTACGTACTTAGCAATCTTAACATACTAATTAAACGTGTAGATATATTTAAAGTTAATTGCGTTTTAAACACAATGTTTGCGTACTTTCTATACCCGGCGTTCTACTACAATAAATGCAATAAACCGACCGGGCGAAGTAAATTTTTTACTCAATTACCGTTAGTTTATTGCAAATTAAATTTATCTATGAATAAGTGGTCTAATTAGGCGAGTACAACTAACTATATCCTATCTAAAACAGCGGGTAATTTACAACTAATATTGTAATGATAATGCAAATTTCGAACTCGAAGGCTGTAAATTCAGATTAGAACCGTAACAACTCAAACAATGAGCATACATACCGGTATTTGCTATAGTAAATTCGAAATAATCTTCGGTAAATACCTACATGCGAGCACGTTGTGCAAACTTGCGCGGCCATTCTTTCTTCAAACCATCGAGGAGTTTACACAAGAATTTTTCTACAACAAACCGGCGTGATACCTTCGTGTAAATCTCACTGATCTGAAGTTTTTCACCCACTTGCATACGCTTTTTGTATTATAGTTTAGTTAAGCAACAATGAATTTATTAATACTAAACGAATCGGTTTTTTTTACACCACATTAATATTGCAATGCGGGGTTAAGCTGGAAAATCCTAATTGTTATTCAAATGCTTCGTTAATTAGTTATTGGTTACCCGTCGAACTGAACCGAACTGACCACTAATTTTATTTTCCTCCGCGATTAATATTAATATTGAAATTTCATAACGATAATTTCAGGTTGACACTTCGAAGGTTGTTCGTTGAATTCCCGGCTGGTAATGTCGAATACCAGTTTCGTGTAACCAAAAAAAAAATGAATTAAATTCGATAAATCAATTCGAAAAAACGTTTCCTATTTCTGTAATTATGATGGAGAAAAAACTGGCCATTTTTAGTAATTTCCATTCCAATTTGTCTATTCCTAATAATCACAATTTGTATTTTTTTTATGTTAAATAAGCACTTATTAGGCTACCATTATTAATCCTTTAAAAAATAATAAATCACATTTAAAAAATCGAGTACTTAATTTTAATTTGCAACAATATTTACAATATTTACTGCGACAAAATAAAACATAATGAAATATATGTAAATACACAATACAATGAAATAATTTTATTGTTTAAGCAAACGGTTTATGATTTTTTATGCAACAATTTAAGTTCCTTTAAATAATCATTATACCAAATCATTGTATTAATTCGATTGGAACAGTCGCATTTACTTCCGCAATTTTTATATTCTAAACGGTACAATTGAAAGTTTATTTCCTATTAAACCGAGCTCAATTACGCGAAATTGTACCCGAGTAAAATTCCAAATTATTCAACCTACGTACGGTTAAAAATGTAGGTACTTCCGATTAAAAAACGATTGTATGTACTGCATGTAGTACCATCATCTGTTCCAGTTTCCATACGGCCTGTTAAGTAATCCGTGGAAATGTTTATTCAAATAGAATTTCACACTGTTTTTGCTAGATAAACCGTCAATTATTCTAAACTTTACAGTTGTTCGTATTATAATGTTACAATTTATGCAGGTCCGTAATAATATTTTCAATTTTCAACACAAGACACAAGATTTAAAAGGTGATAAATTTAAAAGAAAATTGATTCCATTGTCTTGCCAATATTTCCACTATAGGATTTTAAAATTTAACAGTAGAATAAGTTGCATTACTGCTACAAAATATTCACCCTTATTCCAAATAATCTAATAACGAAATTTTTCTGATGATTCGACATGCTAAATCCTTTGGAAAGGTAATTCAAACCTGCCGGTGTAGCGTTTCTCTAAAATTCTTTGACATAATGATTACGCTTTGCCGGGCAGAATAATTGTTCTCGGCAGAAGTAGATCGATCGCAATTCCCAATTTAAATCCGAAACACTTCTGTGCAATTACATAATGGGATTTTTCGCTGCGGTGAGCTCGAGAAGCCGTTCGAGCAGGGCGCAATACTTATAGAATCGTACTTACTTGAACAATTAACTGTACAGTGGAGCTCGATTTCGAGCTGTACCTATTATTAGTAGTCACAAAAGAACTGATTGGAAATTGGAAAATCGAACGATAGTTGAGAAAACCGCGCGGGATTGTCGTCGAAGCGCCGGCACACACTGAACCTCTCCGCTAAAAATATAGGATATTTATTTATCTGTGCGTATTTATTCAGAAGGTGTGCAAAATTTCGTATGATAAAGATAAGAGAATCGCGGTGATTCAGAAGCTGAACAAATTCTAAAATTCGCGAGATAAGCCCGCACTGTGCGTGTTTACGCTAATTTATTAATCCCAAACGAATTAATTAATGCGCTATTAATTAATCACCTTTTTTAAGTAAACTCGGAAATTCGTACCGAATGAGAAAACAGGAATATTTTCGAATGGAAAAATATCCGTAAAAGTATCGCGTATCATCTCAAAAATAAGTGCATAATAATTTATTAATAGGTCTGAACAATGATAAAATTACTCTAAATTAACGATTAATTCAGTATAGGAGAATTACGTTCTAAAAATAAAAAACAAGGTACAAAATTCAAATCAACAGATATAAATCAGTTATTCGGCATATGTAAATATCTTTCGGTTAACAAACTAGTAAATTATTTTAAACGATAAAGTTTCATTGCCCTCCTGAGTCGTATCATCTGATTTTTTTTTGTTTTAGCATGCAAATCGTAGCGCCGCAAAACGAAAAAGGAAAAGTTAAAAAGACATAATGCATATCTCGAAGAGAAAGTACTTGGACCATAGCGCTAGAAATCGACGAGATAAGAGAGTACAATAATTTTAGTATTGTAGACGGTGGGCATGCAGGTAATCTAGAAATTGCGACGATAAAGATTCATTATCTTTATGTACGAAGATTAGGAATATCGTAACAGCCAGTGAAGCGGACGAATTGGAAATAAATAGGAAACATTTACCACAAAAAAACACCAGGAAATTTTTGAGCAACAATTTGCTAAATTAACGATTTTATCGCACGAAAGCGCTTATTAAAATCGAATTAATGCGACGCGTTCAAAACAAAAACCGACCATTCTGGGTCTCCATTTAATCGAACCTCCCGCAGAAGAAGAGCACGGGCGGCGCGCTCGCCGGATTTACCGCCGTTGGACTATTTAATTCGGATGAATCGGCGTGTTTTGACTGGACGGTTTTTGTTGTTCTTCGTGCTCGAATTGAACGGTCCTTTTGCTTTCTAGGTCAGTGTGCGATTCGGTGCGGTCCCAAAACTACCGAAACCGCTATCATTTTTACACATTCTCGCCCGCCATTTAAATCCGTCGACTCGAAAAAACCGGGCCCCGGAAAATATTTCAGTTCGTGACGTCATCGCTGCTTTAACTTGAACGCACTGTACTAATTATTTCTTGAAAAACAAGCGAGTACTCGTATATTATAAATTTCAAAAGTTGTATCTACACCTACTCGATTGTTTGCTCTCTGCGCAGCAAAAAAATATTTACAGCAATTGACACAATTTACAATCTGCGAGATTAATACCCTGTTCCGCGTTCATTAAAGATAAATGTTGTTAAACCTTTATAATAACAGATTAATTTCAAAATGCATTGCATTATAATTAAAGATATTTAGATTTCTTAAAAATTCGTAGCTCTAATCATAGCTAAAGAAACATACAGGTAAGTACAAATTTGTTTGCTATGTGGTCTATGGGTGCAACAAAGACAACTTCCATTAGTTTCATAAAAAGGAAAAAGAAAGTGATACTGGGATTGCAACTTTCTCACTCAAACCCACTGTTATTTGAATACTCTTTCTTTGTTCAACTCGTATAGAATTGAGCTTATTGCAAACAACTTTTCATTTATCCGTATATTTATATAATTCGTTTCGTTAAGATAGTGTAGCAATAAAAGGATAAATCGAAACTAATTAAAGTGGAAAATAAATAAATTGCACTAACATAATTCAATCGGAAGTAATAGTTGCAATTAATTTCTAGAAACATGTGTATTTTCTCTAAATCAGTAATTAGCTATCGGAAAATTTAGTTAATTAAAACAGGCGTTGTTGTAACTTGCAAATTACTAGCGCACGGAATGCAGTTAAGAGTTTTTTTTATTCCGCCAATAATTTCCATTTGCGTATACAAAAATGTATTTTTCTAAGTGAAAAATACCATTAATAAATGTAAAACGGTCGACATACGAATGTGTTCCATTATGCACAGCGCGATAAATTTATTGTTACATGCAAATTAATTTCTAATGTGATTTTCCTGTTTTTCCGCCGATTTCGAAAAAATAAATTTCCGAATTTCGGTATTGTTCGAAAGAAAAA